AAGCTCTTTTCCCCTGCTTGGGAAGTTTTCTGCCATTATTTCTGTGAAGAGATTTTTTATGTCATCTCCACTCTCTCCTGTTTCTTCATTGAGCCCAAGGGCCTGATTTTTCTCTTCTTGATCAGTCTAGCTAATCTTCTGGTTTGTTGTTGTTTTTTTTTCCTATATCTACTCACATATTAAATTTCTTCATTAGCAGTATAAGTTTATGATGCATATAATTACATTCATCTTGGGGAATTGGTACATCTACATATTGCACCTTGATCATTTTTATTTCCCCTTTTCCCAGTCCTACCCTCTTCCTCCTTTAGATCTCTTTCCCACCTCCACAAATTCTACCTCTGTTTCCTACTATCTGTCTTTTTTTTTTCCTTTAAATTATTTATATTTTGGGTTTCTCATATAAGAGAAACCAAGTTAAATGTCACTTTCTGTGTTTGATTTATTTCACTTAGCCTTATGGTCTCTATTTTCTACAGATCCATTTTCTACATCCATCCATTTTCTACAAATGTCTCAAATTTATCCTTCTTTATGGACAAGTAGTCATATATATGCATGTATATATTCATGTAATTTTCTTTATCCATTCACCTATCGATTCTACTCCCATCTTTATGCTTTCATTTTACTTGCCATCATTTTCTCTCTGCTACACGAGAAACTTATTCAACATTTCTTTTGCTGTATTTGTGCTCACAATGAATTTTTTTTCAGATTTTATTTCCTGAAAAAGTTATTGTTTGATGTACTTTTTTGAATGATATTATGCTGTCATTCAAAAGCAATTATTTTTTTAAAAACCTTTTCTACTGCACATTAATTTATTATTTTAATTGTGCATATATGAGGGTGCATGTGATAATGTGAGACATGTATACAATGTGTAATGATCAAGTAAGAATAGTTATCATTTCCATGACTCATAAATATGTTATCACGTGTGTGAGAAGTTCTATGTTGAGGTTTTTTTCTTTTTCTTAGTACCTAAAATGTCAGTTTCTACTAGTGAAAGAGTCACTAACTAAACCTATCTTAGCTAGTGCAGCATATGTATTACTAAAACAATGAACCATAGCAACTCAGTAAATAAGGAGAAGAGTAAGGAGAAAGGAAGATGACTGCAAGATAAGAGCGAGCACTCTGAGGACTGAATAACTGGAAGTCTTGTAAAATTTAAAAACAGAGGTAGGGAGTCAGATGGGTAAATAACCCTAAAAGACAGAGGGAAGCCACCAAAGAGAAGCTTGGATGGCCCTGCTGGAGGTAGGTGGTGCTGAGCAGCCCTCTGGGAGGAAGCTGGCAGGCCATCTGCAGGTAGGTTTCACAGGACCAGAAAATACGTGATGACCCCAGCACCTGCTGGTCAACAGGAAGAGTGCAGGTCATGGGTCTTGGTATAATAATGAGTGGTGACAAAGAGGTCATTGTTGAGAATTATGAGGAGGTGAAGAGTCACGTGGTTGTTGCAGTGACTGTGTCCTCCATACTCATTTCCCTTTGTGCAGAACATACACAGGAGTGAAGAGAGGGCTTTCAGCAGTGCCCACGGGCTTGCAGCGGGACCCAGGTTCTCCTCCAAAGGGAGTAAAACCCTTCTAATTACCACCAGGAATTTGTCAGAATATCTGTTTCTTCAGGGATTCTCCCACAACATATGTCATTAAACCTTGGGATAGTTCATTAGTCTCTTTTTGGATAATTGGTGCTTTATACTGGTTTCAGTCCACAGCTGGCTGGTTCCAAGGCCAGCGGCATGGCAGAGGGGAAGTGTCTTCTGGTTTTTAACCTGCTCATTCTTGAGGGCAGACTGAGGGGGCTGAAAGCAGATGCAGATCAGAGAAAAGGCTGCTGCAGCAATGCATAACACGCTGACAGGCTCGGGCCAGGAGGTGGCAGTGGGCAAAGGGTAGAAATGACCACATTCTGGATATATTTTGAAGGCAGAGTCAGGAAGATATGATAAGAGATTGGACATGATTCAGAAGTGAGATAAGAAACAAGAGGCAGTAAGAATGATTCCAAGGTTGTGGCTTAGGGAGTGGGAGGAATAGAGTGCCACTCATGATTCTGGGAAAGCTATGGGACCAGCTGGAGGTGAGGTCCAGGCAAGTCAACTGTAGGATGCTGAGTGTCCTCCAGGAAGACAAGAATAACTTACAGGATGTTTGAATTTGGGCTAAAATTACAAGACTGGAATTTATGATATGCACAAAAAACAGGTGAGATAGTAAAAGACTGAGTGAGGATGTCAAAGAGGACTTTCTGAGCACAGTTCCGAGTGGAGAGGTGGAGAAATCACGAAAAGACCCACAAAATGTTTCACACAGAAGGGGGTAAAGAATGAGAAGAGCTGTCCAACAGGACTGAGGACTGACCTTCAGGTTTGACAACCTGGAACAACAGGTCATCAAGGGTAGAGCTCAGCCCAACTGGAGACCAGAGAGAGAACAAGACAACAGAGACAAGCCCTACTGGGGGCTGGTTGCTATAGAGGAAGGAAGAAAAGCAAGGAAATCAATAGAAAGGTGAGAAGAGAAATCTTTAAAGAAAGAAAGAATGGTGCATATACATATTGACATAAGTGCTGCAGAAAAGAGAAAAACCAACAAGGCAATAAACAGAGAACAGAACTGTGGGGAGGTCCAGGGAGATGGTAAGAGGAGGCCCTGGCTGCAGAGGGGACAGGCAGGGAGGGTCCAAGGCAGCAGGTCCCCTCTGTGGCTCCCATCTCCTCTCTGAAAGGGAGGGAAGGCAGAGGGAGCATAGGCCAGGCACAGCCCCTCACAGGCGTGGGCTGGGCCAAATCCTGGCTCCACCACTAGCTGGCTCTGAGCAAATTATCCCTTTCCCTGTGCCTCAGGTTTCCACCTGAATATGGGTCATTATGGTACTAATATGCAGGCATTATGGTGCCCAACAGAGCAGGTGCTCTGTGCAGCTCTCCTTCCAGACAGAGCAGCCCCTTCCCCTCCTCCCTGCACATCCAGGCTACCTCACTCACCTGGGGCCAGCTTGATCTCCAATGCTGTCCGAATGAGGGCCATCAGTGTGGAGGTGAAGTGCACTGTCATATCCTCACTGGAGATAGGCATGTTCATGCGAACCAGGCGCTGGGGACAAGGAGAAGCAGGTAAAGGCTAGGTGCACCAGGGTCACCCCCATCCCAGGGCTGCCCAGTGCTTCGGGCACCGGGGGATTGCCTGGGCCGCCTGAGGGTGGTCCCTGCAGGTGCCTGGGCCTAAGTGAGATTGGGTGGAGGGGAGTTTTGCCAGCATTCACGCTCATCCCAACTCCCACCCTAATCTGAGCTGATTCTCCTGGCTGCAGAAAAGCAGAAATCCAGGTGAAGTCTGTAGCATGGGGTCAGGCCAGGAGCCTGGATCCCTCTGAAATAGGGACAACCTCAGCCAGAGGGACCTTGGCCCCAGTCCATGAATGAAAAGAGGGTGTGTGGCACTGGCTGAGGAAGGAGGGTCCAACGAGGAGCCCATAAGCAGGAAGGGTCTACCCACCTCCCCTCTACCTGCAACTGGATCATCCAGACAAGGGTGGCAGCCAAGAGTCCCACCTGGAGCCCCAGCCCCCAAGAGGGGTACCCTACTTTACCTCAAGCCCAACTAAGGATTCGCTTCTCACCACCCAGCCAGGGGGCCAGAAGACACACTTGACGCCACTCAAAGGCAGACGGAGAAGCCTTAGAGACTAAGCTCCTTCCAGCTTGAAGGAACCAGGACTGAGGAGACTGCAGCCAACAGCTGGTGAGGGTTGGTGAGGAGCATCTGCTCCTATCTCCCTGAGCCAACCCCCCTGCTTTCTTTGGTTTTCAGGGAAGGACAGCTGGACAAGCATGTGACTGCAACACAGTCTTCCAGGCCAAGCCTGCAGCTGCCTAAAGCCTCAGGCTCTGAGAGTTCGAAGGGTGTTCAGAAGGGGAAAGACCCAAGATGCTCATGCAGACACATAGAGCCCCAGGAACACCACGGCTAGCCTGTCCTCATAGGATGGGGCTGGAGGCAGGAGCCCCTCCCTGGGCCTGGCCCTCTGGCAAGGCAAGCCCTCAGCCCCTCCTCTGGGAAGGGCTCACAGCCCTGCCCTCAGTACCCTGGTCTCAAATCCAGAGATCTCAGTGTGACGGTTGGTGGAGGTGCAGGGGGGCTGAAGATATGAGCCAGACTGTCCCTCGAATGCTGGCAAAGCCCCACTTGGCACATCCAATCATAGTGCCAGCACCCCACATACACATGTGCTGCACACCAGGAGAAACTTGCTTCCCAGAGCATGGCGTCCCTGCAGACCAGCACCGATGGCAGTGTGAGAGGCGGATGAATTCCTCTCCCAGGGAGGGGAGTGGGGATGAGTGAACAAGGAGCAAGCAGGTGGTCTCGCAAGGGAGAGCTCTGTCCAGGGCACTCTGAGGGTTGCCCTCATCGGGGCTCCTACCCCCTGCCTCAGGCCCTCATGGGCCAGAAGCTGAGATGCTGAGGGGGAAGGACAGGACAAAGCAACAATGCCATGGTGCTCCAGCATCCCTTGGACCCCCTGAAGCTTGCCCAAGTCCATCATCCCCAACCTGTCCAGAACCTCAGGGCCAGCTAGTTTGGCTGGAAGGGTCTTACTGCACTGGCTGCCCAGCCCGGTGTCGGTGTGGACAGAGCTCTCCCCCTTGAGACAGGGCTACAGCCTTGCATGCAGCAGGTACAACACACATGCGAGTATGGGCAAAGGAAGGACCGAGGGAGACCCCAGAGGCATCTCTGTGGCAGGTAAGAGCATGGTGGCTCCACAGGCTGCACTGGATCAGGCAGCAGACAATGACCTAGAATGAGGGCACAAAGACTGTGGATGGGAGAAACCCAGTGAAGCCCTCAGATAGCTTGCTGGAGAGCAGAGGGTGCCAGCAGAGGGGCCCAGGTGGGTAGGGTGCCTGGCGGTGCCACAGGCCAGTGAGCAGGAGCTGTGGGACCCACACCTCCCCCCCAGGAGGGAGGCTGGAGGCATCCTGGCCTGCCTGTTCTTACAGCCTAGCCATCTGGAACTCTGGGCCTGAGGCCTTTGCTCTCCTGCAGCAGGCTGGGAAACCTCAGGCAGGTTGGCAATACCCTCCCTCGCAGCCTACTTTCTCAATGTCACAAGGCCTCCTTCCCACAGGGGGCCAGGAAGCCCCTGCAGACTGTGGCCAGGCACTGGCTGAATTCAGCAGAGGTGCGTGTGTGTGTGCGCGTGTGTGCGTGTATACACGTGTAGCAGCGGGGCCCCTACAGGCCCAAACTGTCCCCAAAGGCCAGACCCTGAGGACCTTACGGAACAGTGCAGCAGGTAGTCCTGAACCTAAAACAAAACAATCTCTGTTCAGAAAATGGGTCTGTCCCCTTCTTCCTGGAAAAGGAAGGGAAGAAGGGCAGCACTCTGGCTCCATCTTCCCAGCCTCTCTGGGCTGTCAGGAGAGGGCAGGGATGGGGCACCAGGGGCCAGTGCAGAGGCCTCATAGCAGTCCATGTCCCTCTGCCTGGGATGGGAGCAGAGATGGGCAGGGTGGAGAAGAGGGAAACAGTGAGGCAGCCAGGTGCAGACAGACAGCGGGGTGAGCCCTGCGAAAGCGGCAGCGGGGAGAGCTCAGGAGCACCCTTCGGATGGGAGGAGGCCAGGGCAGCCCAGCCTCTCACAGACAGCTCCTGGGGCAGGGGTGTAGGGTCAGGGTCTACCTTGTATGCAACTCGAGCAGGGCATTTCTTCCCCAGCCCCAGAGGTGGGGACATGTGTTTCAGCATCTCAAACATGTCATTGTAACTGATGCGCCCACTGGAAACCCGTCCCAGAAAGGCAGGCACAGTGGGGCGGTCCACAGGACGAGGCAGGCAGCAGAGGGGCAGAGCGGGGCAGGGCCAGGGAGGAAGCAGACAAGAAAACACATCTAGTTAATCCAAGTGCCAGGCGACACACCCAGAATCAAGAGCGGTCAAATGAGGGTTTCTCTGCTTGACTCGACCCCTGCTGCCCCACCCCAGGCCTCACCCCTCGCTCCAGCCCCACGCAGGGCACGCGCAGGGCTGGCTCTGAGCTAATGAACATGGAGGGGTAGGGAGGGCTGCATCGGGGCGGCTTTGGGTTGTACGTTTATGCTTTGACTCTTTCAGAAGCACACAGAAGGCCGAATCAGAGAAGAGCTGTTTCACCGTGCGGGAGGAGCGGGCTGATTGCGGAGATGGGGCTGTGGGTGAGACCACAGGAGCAGCCAGCACCAGCGGTCCGGACAGTCAGATTGGCTTCCGAGCGAGGCCAGAGGCCGCAGTGGAGAAACGTCTACAATAGGCCAGGAAACCAGACAGGGATCTTGGAAGCTCTAGAGCCGAACTTGACCGTAAGGCAAGTCCTGCTCCAAGGCCAGAGACGCCCGAAGCGGCCGGGGCAGGGCTGCTGCTGGGGTCAGGGCTGGAAGGGAGGAGACTTCGGGGAGGGGAGGCGCTGGGTGGTGGTGACCTGGGCCACTCCCGTGCTGCCTGACCAGTCAGGTGGGGACCAGCAAGCAGGGCGAGCCTCCGGCAGGGCCCGGAACCTGCAGGCCCCTGGGAGCTGGTGGCGAGTCTTCCCCAGCTTTTGGGTCTCCCTCCACTCCCGGAGCCCCTGCCTGAGGGCTTGGGGTCCCAGAGACACAGCAAGTTCAAGCCGGGACCTTTCCTGGCAAGCAGATCTGCTTGGAACCTCCCACTTTCGGACCACAGGGCTCCTCTGCTGGGTGGAGTAATTAGTCCAGAGGTGACACAGGATGGCTTGTCTTTGGGCCCCACCCACCTGTTCTCTCCTCCCCCAGGGACTGGAAGCCTCTCCGACCAAGAGGAGCCACTGCTACTTGCACCAACATTCCCCTTCTCTGGACCCTCAATCTCTGGCCTGTCTGACCATCAGCCAACCCACCCAAGCCTACAGGAAGAACTGGGTCAGATGGCTGTCTCTGTGGCACAGGCTGGACCTGGCTGGCCCCCAGCACCCACCTGGCTGGCTGGTCCTGGCCAACACAACCCAGCCAGAAGCTCTATGTGCTGTCTCCAAAGGCTGCCTGCCCCAGCCAGATGAAGGGTTTGGGAGATTAGAAAGGGAACCAAAGCATCTAGGAGGCCGGAGTGCGGGGCAGGGCAGGACGAGAGGAAAGAGGTGAGGTGCTGTCATTCCCAAACCAGGCAGGGAGAGTGTGCTGTGTTTGCAGTTCGGGCAGGGAGTATGTTGGATGGAGGCTCTGAAGTTGCAAACCTTGTAGGCCAACCTACGAGGGCAGTTCTTCCCTAAGCCAACGGGTGGCGCAATACAACGCAACAAACTGTACATATCCTTATAATGAATCCGGCAACTGGAAAGGAAATGTCACAGGTTACGGCAACAAAGGCAAATGGAGCCCAACCCACCCACCCACCCAGCCTGCAATGGAAGATGCAGCCTTGAGCAGCCAAGGTGGTGAGGGGTACGGCTGGCCAAGCTGCTCCCTTCTGGAGGCTGGAGCAACCCAGAAGATATGTCAAGCCGCTATGATTCCTAGAGCCCAAGGCAGGCAGGGAACACTTCTCACAGAAATCTGCGTGCTTCACAGAGGCAGGACACACTCCTCACACTCCAGTACCTGGATGGCATCTACTCTGCACATGGCGTGATGCCTGTCCTCGTCAGTCTGGCCTGGGCCTGCCCAGCTCTGTCAGCCCTGCCTCTCTTGAAGGCCAGACCCCCTCCACAAGTCTTCCTCTGAGCCTGGCTCTCATGCACCTGCCTCTCCACCTCGTCCACCTCAGGGGCGCCTCCTGACTGTCCCCATCTTTCTGCTGGTCCAGCTAGACAGCCTCTTTCCAGCACTGGCACCCTTGGGTCACCACTAATGTTCTTCTCTCCTATACGGCAGTCTCCCTCAGTCCAATAGGATCCAAGGTACTTCTTGAAAAGAGGGAAGAAAGATGAAGTCCCACTTTGGCTTCACTCAGGGTGCTTGCTAACCCTGTTGGACCCTGGGAACTATTACCAAGGGGCAGGGGGGATGGGGGCCCCTATTTACCAAACCTGTCAGATGCCACCAAATGAAAAGTGTGGGCCCAATACTGTCACTCCCTGATTCAAACACTTTCTCACTGTCTATAAAACAAAATCAGAACTCCTTTTTAAAGCCACGTCTCAAAGCCTGTACCAGCCCCTTATAATGCATACTCCACTCCAGCCTGGTGCAGTGTACCTGGATGTCCCCCTGCCTCTCCACCTGCCTCAGCCTTCTCTGAGGCTCCACCAATCTTCCTCCTTGAGTTCAGCTCAGATGGCACAAGTATTTCTTTTTTTAGGGTGCTTTAAACAATTTATTCAACTGAAATGCCCATATACTGACTTCCATTTTTTTTTTATATATCTTTTCTCCCCATGGTGAGTTAGAGCATCTTCAAGCCAATATAAATATTTCATAAATATGTGGCCATTTGGGGATATACCTACACAATACCTCATCATCTTTCAGCCAAAAAAACCCCCCAAAAACACCAAAGAATAAAGACCTCACATAATTAACTAGGTACAATGAGAATCTGCTCCAAATATTTTTTTTTTTTAGGTAACGCACCACGTACCTGTTCAATTAAGAAAACCTTACAACACAGGATAATTTTTTATTTTTAAGTAGGGCCTAGGACTCTTAGCCACTAACTAGGTGCTGCATGGCAGAGCTACATCCCCTGCTTAGGCCATGAATCCATAGGGAGCAGGTCCCAGCAACTCAGGCTCCTTCCCATTGGTTCTCACAAAGTGTGCTTCTCTGGGCGTGGCACTCAATTGAACCAGGTACCTTGCTCTTTGTCTTCCTTCTTTTTCTGGTCATTTTTCTTGACCTGTTTCAGGAAGCTGTCTCGACTCTCTGAGTGTTTAATATGCTCAATACGCACATTAATCCTCTTGGCAAGCATCTCGCCCTTAACTTGCTTGTTTATCAATGCCAGCAGCATGCTGGGTAACATTGCAGACTCTTCCAATTTTGCCATGGTAACGTTTGTGTGGCATTTCTTTTTGAACAGTACCCAATCCCTTGATGTCTGCAATGTCACCCTTTTGTAGATTCCCATGCATGTGGCCAAAGGAACAACCCCGTGTTTTCTGAAAGGCCTAGAGGGCGTATACCGGGTTCCTCTCTTCTTTCCCTTCGTGTTTGTCCTTTGGGCAGATTTCTGAAAGATGGTGGTTCTGGCCGAAAGGTAGATGGCACAAGCAATTTCTGGCCTCAGATGCCCTAGCTTTGAGCTCCAGCACTGCCATGCATCCTAGTCAAAATAGGAGAGCATACACCTGCTTCACCTTGTCACTCTGTGCCCAACACATAGCAGATGCTCAACAATACTGGACAGACAGATGAACATAAACTGAGCAGACAGACTGCTTTGAGAAGTGTGACTGGGATTCTCCCTTTGAGCTTTTACATTCCACAAAGTCTTGAGGCAGCAACGAAAGGGAAGCTAGGAAAAAAGCAGCTCTAAATATCAACCACTTTGTGTCTCCCAGAGCATGCGTGTGTTCACATATGTCCACCTGTGCTTGCACACACACATGAACACACAGGCATGTGCATACAGACATGCAATGAACTCACACATATGCACACATCACAGATGCACACAGGGGCAGACACGCATGAATGTACAGTTCCCTTGCATACATACACACAGATAAACACAATTACATGTGCATATACATGTGCACTTATATCCACAGAGGAGCACAAACTCATGTATACACAAATATGTGTGCACACACAATAAATAGGCATGGCACATGGACATAGTACTCATAGGGTCACACAAATGTAAGAATGGATATGTACACAGGTACACACGTGTACACACATACACTGCCATACATGTACACACACAGCCACACGTGTATATATTTTCATATATACACACATGAAAATGTTGAGAAATTAACAGTTTTGTTGTGGTTTCAAAGTGTCTCCCAAATACTGAAGAGACATCCAAGTGGTCATCCATCCTGGAGGCTACCAAAAGGCTTGAGCTGCCTCTCTGTTGTGCCAAGGATATGGATCCATATTAGCCTACTCAGCTGCTACTAGCCTCCTCAGGCCATTTAGGGCTAGGCTTTGACTGAGGCTCTTGTGGACCAGAGCTCTGTGTGCTGCTTACAAGCCTGTCACTCCAGGCTCGTGGTCTTGTACAGGACCTGGTTCATGCCACCTCTGGGGCAAGGCTTATTTCTGCTGTCTATTCTTTGACAAGCACTTTCTTTATCATGTGCCCAATAGCCCTAGTCTTGCAGCTTGCAGCATCCCCAGTCCCCAGTTCTAGAACTTGGGAAACAGACTGGGCCCTCATTGTGCATGATACAAAGCTGCAGTCAGCCCAAGCCCACCTTCAGCCATGGCTTACTGTGGAAGGCCTGGGTATGCAATTCTCATATCCTCTCCCTCTCCTCTCTCCCTCTCTCCCTCTCTCTCACTCTCGCTCTCTCTCGCTCTTGCCTTTGCCCTTTAGTGTAGATTATATCCTACAAAGTATGTTTTCTGCAATATACTCCTCTTGGGACAATGTTCCCAAAACAGCAGACTCCAGATCAGAATCAGACTAGTCCCCCTAAGATGCACCTGAATCATGGCTCAGTTCCAGATGCTCTTGCCCTTTGCCTGACACGCCCCAGTCTCCACCCAAATATGAATGGCCTTCCTGACCACAGGACCCAGTAAAAAATCCCCAAACCCATGCATTCCAGCAAGAGTGTGGGTACTGCAGAACAAAGATGTGCAAGCATCAGAAATGGTGGGGTCTCCAAAGCCAAAAAAATAGTCACATACACCAAGAAACATAAGCAACTGCTATGCTTCCTCTGTACTGTGCAGAAACTGTAAATTCACTCCTCATTAACATGGAGGATGTACATGGAGATACTGTTGGTCTGGAAAAGCCTGGACAGGAGAGGTCTGTGTTCCTGGCTCCCAATGCACCCAGTGGTGGTGAGGCTTCCAGATGGAGGATAAAGGAACAAGGGGCAGCTAAGGGAGCATGGCCAAGCCCTCAGGGTCTGTAGAGGGCTCCTCACAGCCAGCTGCACAGCAGGGGAAACTCAAGGAGCCTGTGGGCAGCAGGAGCCTCACCACTAGGAACCTGACCATTTCCTCCAGGCCTTCCCTCTGCAGGGTGCAATGTGTAGTCACACATGGCAGATAGGGGCAGGCAGGGAGTTGGACCCAGGTCTGTGGTCATCTTCCCCTGCATTCATTCATGGTTCCTGAGCACTCATGGTGTGCAAGGTACCAGCAGACCTATTCTTACCCAGCAGGCCAGGGTCAGCCCCACATCTCCTGTGCCTGCCTTACAGGGAGCAGCTCTCGTTAACTACTGCTGAAGCAGTTGAGTGAGTGAAAAAGAGAAGGGTGGAAAAGCAGGTAAATAAATGAATGAGTACAGGGTGAATGGATGAGTGAACTAGTGAATGAGTAAAAGAGTGGGTGATTTAGTGAATGAATGGTTAAATGAGTAAGCAAATGAGCAAAGGAGCAAGCAAGTGAACATACGAAAGAGCGGGTGAGAGTGAAGGGAAGTACAGATGAGGACAGGCAAGTGTGGGTGGTATGGGTGAGGCATGGACAGGTGGACAGTGCAAGCCCTGGTGCTGTGCTGACCCCTGCCCAGATGTGGTCTCTGCCCTGGGCACAGCACGGCACAGTGCAGGGCTCTTCCATGGAAAACGGTCTCAAACAATCTCACTGTCTGATCCCAACACCCTCCAAAGCCCCACTCTGGCTGGAAATGGCTCACCCCTCACTTAGGGAACCCATATGGTCACCCTTCCCACCTTGCCCAAGGGGTTCTGAACATACTAAAGCCCTACTGGTGGTTCCTCTGGTTTCAATCCAAGTTCACCAAGTGCTGACTGTGTACAGCCAGGGCTGAGGACACAGGCACATGTTGGCTTTTGTCCCCAAGGGAGATGGCAGAAAAGACCCCTCAGCCCCCAGGGGGGAATGTCCCAAAGCCCCACAATGCTTTTGCCCTCAAAGGCCCCTGAGTGTCACAGGGTGGTCCAACCATGCTGTCTCCACGCTCTCCCTCATCGACGGCCCTTGGAAGAAGGCACAAAACACTCACACATAAAGAGCCCCAAGCCTCATAGACCTCCCCAACCTCCCAGGACACCAGACACAGGCACCTTCCTGAGGGGCCACTGAGGATCTCAAACACCATGTCTCTACCGTGGAGCTGCATCAAGGCATACAAGACTGAAAAAGGACCACTCAAAGGGGACACCAGTGCCACTCCACATGACTGACTGACACTCCCAGCTGACACCTGCAGGGGGCACTTATGTGAAACACGGCCAAGCCCGCCCCTGCCCTGTCCCAGAAGCCATGGGTAAGGCCACCCCTGAGAATCACAGAGCACGGGGGCTCACTCACCATGCAGCCGGGTCGTACTCGGCCCAGACCCGGATGAACTCGTCTAGGTGGTGCGGCCCCAGGATGGAAGAGTCCCGCGTGAGGTACTCAAAGTTATCCATGATGACAGCCACAAAGAGGTTCAGCATCTGCGGGTCAGGAAGGAGAAGAGGAGGCACAGAGAGAGCTCAGCCTGCCCTCCAGCCCTGCCCTCAGCTTCCACAGTTGTGCGGGGTTGTCCAGGCAGCAGGGACCGCTCTGCTTTGTTTAGGTCCTCCTCAGCCCCAGGGCGCTAGGTTCTAGATCCCACACATGCACTTCCAACATTTAGCCCCTGGAAGGCTCTGCTCTCTACTGCTATGGTCCTTCGCCAGTTCAGGCTCCATGATCTCTTGCCCACAATCCATCCTGACACCCGAGGGAATCCCTCCCCAGCTGTGTGAGGGGCATTGTGCACCCTCAGGCGATCCTGTGGTGTCAGCAGTGTGGACATGAGCAGCCAGCAGCTTGGGTTTTCTAATGGAGCCAAAGTTTCCATAGCATACCATTCATCATTTTGCATGAATAATTCAGAAGTATTTAGCATATTTACAACACTGTGCTACCACCTCTCCAGTTTAAAATTTTTCCATAGTCTGAAAAGCCGACCCTGCACCCGTTAATTAATCACCCCTTGTTCCTCAACCCACACCCTGGCAGCCACCAATCTCACTTCTCTCCCTCGATTTGTTTATTCTGGATATTTAATGAAAAAGGAATCAATAAATGTCTGGATTCTTTAACTCAGCGCAATGCTCTTGCGGTCCATCCACACTGTGGCATGTGTCACTATGCCCATTCATCTTACGGCTGAAGAACCTTTCCTCGATTCACGGACCTCTGTGGTGTCTCCACCTTCTGCCTAGTATGATGAATCATACTGTAAGGACCCTATGTCTGTTTCTATGCAGACATGTCTTTTCATGTCTCTCGGCTGTGTACCTAAGAGTGGAACTTAAAAACTTTTTCATAGCAACTGCAGTGTTTTTAACCTTCCCACCAGTAATGAACCACAGTTCCTATTTCTGTGCAGCTTTGCCAATACTTATTTTCTGTTTTCAAAAAAATGTTGCTATAACTATCATTGTAAGTGTAAAATGGTATCTCATTTTGATTCTGATTTGCATTTCCTAATGACCAAAGATGTTGAACACCTCTTCAGGTAACTGTTGGGCATTTGTGTATCTTCTTTAGAAAAATGTCTTTTTTGGGGCCAGGGATTTAGCTCAGTGGTTCCGCCACCTGCCTCGCAAGCACAAGGACCCGAGTTCGATCCCCCGGTACCATAAAAAAATAAATAAAAATGTCCTTTTTGATCTTTTGCCCATTTAAAATTTGTCTTTTGTTCTTGAGTTGTAAAAGTTGTTTCTGGTACTGAGGACTGAATCCAGAGCCTTTGCACTGGACGACAACTCTAGTTCCTTTTTCATTTTTAAAACCTCTTGATACAGATCTCACTAAATCTCCAAGTTGTCCATGCTGGGCTCAAACTCGTTATCTTCTTGCCTTAGCCTCCCAGAACACTAGGCTGACAGGCAGGCACGGCAGTGCCAGGCTTAAAAGTTCTTTATATAGGCTGGATACTAACCTCTTATGAGATGTGTTGATTTGTAATCATTTTTTCCCATTTTATAGACTATATTTTCACATATTTGATAAGGTACTCTGATATGCAAGTTTTTAATTTTGAGGAACTACAAATAATCTAATTTTCTTTTTTGTTTATGATTTTGATGTCAAACCAAAGAATCCATTGCCAATTTTGAGATCTTGACATTTTACCTCCTATATATTCTAATATTTTTAGTTTTTCTATGTAGGTCTTTGATCAGTTGATTTATATATGGAGCAAAGTAGGGGTCATTATTTTGTATGCAGATATAGTTTTCTTCATACCATTTGTTAGAGACTACTCTCTCCCAGTTCAATTATCAATGAAAGAAACACTTCTTTCTCCATGAGCACCCTTGTCAAAAATCAATTGGCTGGGCCAGGGATTTAGCTCAGTGGCACCACACTTGCCTTGTAAGTGCAAGGTCCTGAGTTCGATACCCGGTACCACAAAAATAAATAAATAAATAAATAAATAAATAATAATAATAATTGGCCATAGATGTTTAGGTTTATTTCTGGATTCTCAATTCTATTCCACTGGCCTGTATATCTATCTTTACACAAGCAATATTGGTTTTTTGTTTTTTGGTACTGGGGATCAAACTTGGGACCTTGCGCTTGTGAGCCAGGAGGCAGCACCACTGAGCTAAATCCCCAGCCCACAAGCAATACTGTTTTAATTAATGTAGTGTTATAGTAAGTTCTGAAATGAGGAAATGTGGGAAATGAAAACTGTTTTGCTTTTTCTTTTTGAGGACTGGTTAGGCTACTTCTTTGCAATACCACATGAATTTGAGGATCTGCTCTTCCACTTCTGCCACCAAAAAGGCCATTAAGATTTTGATAGGGACTGCATTTAATCCATATACCACTTGGGGGAGTACTGACATTTTCTAGTATTAAGTCTTCCAATCCACGGACATGGCATGATTTTCCATTTAATTGGGTCTTCTTTAACTTCCTGTTTTTGGGGGGTTTTTTTGGTACCAGAGATCGAACTCAGATCTTTGCATTTGCGCAGCAGGCAGCGAAACCACTGAGCTAAATTTCCAGCCCTCTTTAACTTCTTTATATCAATGTTTCTGAAGTTTCAATTTAAGTTTTTCACCTTCTTGGTTATTTTATTCCTAGGTACTTTATTCTTTTGGATGTTACTGAAAGCAGAATTATTTTTCTGAATGTCCTTTTCAGATTTTTCATTGCTAGTGAATAAAAACGCCAATTTTTGTTGGATTTTGTACCCTGTAGCTTTGCTGAACTCATTTATCAGCTCTAGTAGTATTGCATCTGTGTGCACTTGTGGGATTTTCTGTATACAGAATCGTGCTATCTTAAAATACATAGACTTCCTCTTTCCAACTTGGATACTTCTTCTTCTTCTTTCTTCCTTTTTTTTTTTTTGGTGCCGGAGATGGAACTCGGGACCTTGTGCTTGCGAGGCAGGAGGTGGCACCCCTGAGCTAGACCCCCGGCCCTCTTCCTCTGGCCCAGGTGTTCCGTCCGGGACTTCAGTCGCCGCACTGGGGTCCATGAGGGAGACGAGCACCCTCGTCTCTTCACCCCGCCTTTGGGGGAAACCGCAGCCTTTCACCACTGAGCGGAATGCTCGCTGTGAGCTTTTCATAAGAGTCCTTTATCATGTTAGGCTCTCTTCCATTTCTAGTTTGCTAAGTGTTTTTGTTAATCATAAAAGGGTGTTGAAATTTGTCAAATGCTTTCCTCACATGTTGAAATGCTCATTTTTTGCCCCTTCATCCCATTAATATGGTATTTAACATCAAGTTTTCTCAAGTTGAATCACTCTTATGTCCCTTGGAGAAACCTCCTTACGTCATAGGGCATACTCTTTTTTGTTTTTTTGGTACCGGGGGTTGAACTCAGGATCTTTCACTTGTAAGGCAAGCGGCGGAACCACTGAGCTAAATCCCCGGCCCAGGGCATACTCTCTTAAACATGTTAGAACTGGCTGCTAGCGTTTTGTTGAGGATGTTTACATCAATATTACCACGGGCTATGAGTCTTCAGTTTCACATGTCATCTTTGGCCACAGTATCCAGGTAATGCTGTCCTCATAGAATGTGTTAGTAGGTGCTCCCTCTTCTTCAATTTTTGAAGAGTTTGGTTTTTGGTACTGGGGATCGAACTCAGGAACTTGCACTTGCCAGGAAGGCAGTGCCACTGAGCTAAATCCCCGGGCAGGAAAAAGTCAGAGTAGTAATTCTTTTTTATTCTATATTTTCACTGTGGTAAAATATACATAGCAAAAAATTTACCATTTTAGCCATTTTTAAGCGTGGAGATTACAAACAGTAAGCACCATCATTCATGTTGCTTTTGAGGTCCACAAAGATGGGCTGATCACGCCTGGTCTTGGTGGGCTGCTCACCCCAAGTCATCTCAGTTCCTAACCCTAAAATATGTCAAGCTTGGTTATTCCCAATGACTACTGACAATGTTACCATCACCTCCTCCCCAGTCTTGGCTCCATATGTCTCACACTCTAACCATGTCACCTTCCAGCTCATTTGCTCTAATATCTTTTTTTTTTTTGTATCGGGAATTGAACTCAGGACCTTGCGCTTGCGAGGCAGGCGCAGTGCCACTGAGCTACATCCCCAGCCCTGCCCAAATATCTGCATCCCAAGGCTTGTGTATGGTGGAGAGATGTCTGTTCCTGTAATGCCCCTCACTTCTAACTGAGCTCAAACCCACTGCCAGAAAACTTTCATTCCCACTATGCCAATAAAAACTATTCCTGCAAGGATCACCACCCACCTCCACTATCCATTCTCGGTCATTGTCTCATTTTACCTGCTAACAATATGTCATAGAGTAGGTTATTCCCTCCCTCTGGCCACTACGTTCCACTTTTCTAAGTCCCCCATCTCAGCTCCCAGACCTACTGCTCCTATCTATCTCCTATGTGGCCAGAGGTAGAATCTTCTGCCTCCTTCTCAGTTCACACCTTTCCTTATGTCAGTGCTCCTCAAAGTTTAGCACTTGCAGAACTGCCCCAGAACTTCTTAAAACTCAGATTCCCAGATCCCTCTCCCAGATATCCTGATGATATAGGAATAGATATGGGGATGGGGCCCAGAAATCTGCATTTATAACTAGCGCTCACATGATGCTTAAGCTATAATAGGTTGCTGGAATGCACTTTACAGCAAGGACCCACAGCAGGTCCTCAAGCTCCCTAGACAGTCCAAACACCAATGGCAACTCATTCACATTTCCAGCCCAGAGGTCTGTGAGGCATCTGCATCTCTATCCCCCTCCAACCCGTGCCTGCAATACCCCACAAAACTCAAGAGTTTTTCAGGTTATCCATTGCCCGGAAAACTCCAGGTATGGGTTTTGAGGTGTTGTTTTTTTTTCAGGTGCGTTTTTCTTTTCTCTTTCTTAATCAGGTCACTTCTCCCTGTAAAGTGCAGCCCAGCCCCTTACTCTAAGCCACTGCCCTACTGCTCACTCTGTGGCCCCTTTCCTCACCGGAGCCAAGCTGCGAAACACCAAGCAGATCACAGTACACATCTCCCTCAAGGCCCCAGGGTCCCAGTGACCAAGAAGAGGATCTACACTACTGGGACCCATCAGTCCACCTCTCCAACCCAATCTCCCACTGTCATGCCGGCTGCTTCTCCACAGCTCACCATACAGTGGACACCTTCCTAGCAGTTGGATATCCAGGGGCAACTGCCCCTGAAAACCTAATCCTTCCATGGCAGTCAAGGAGGGGCCTTCAGGAGCTCATTCCCACTGGGTTCTTTCCAGGGTTAATAAGGTCACTGGCTCTGGGGGTATGGAGGCCCTCACTATGGGATCAGCTGGTGATGTGGCATGGGTCCAAGCCAGGGACCAACAGATGTGGAGCCCCAAGATGAACTAAGACAGGCAAACAAAAGCACAGTGACCAGGACTTACCAGAAAGGAGCAAAGGAAGATAAAGGATACGAAGTAAAAGTAGGCAAAGTCACTCCCGCACTCGCTGGCATTGGCATTTGGGTCACAGGCCCGGTTGCTCAGGCAAGACAGCATGATCTCGTGCCAGGCCTCCCCTGTGGCACTCCTGAGGAGAAGGGCAGAGCTGTGAGCCCACGGTAGGTAGAAGGAAAGGTCTGCAGCACACCAGCCATGAACTGAGGGAGTGGGGCCCTTAGAGAGCTTGGTGAATGCACCCTACTCCTGGGTTTCCACACATAGGCAAGGCCTATGTGACAGATGGCTGTTTCTTCAAAACACCCCTCTGACATTAGATTTCCAAACTGACCATTACCTGAGAAAGTAGTTACTAAGAGTGATCTACGGGGGCCGGGGATTTAGCTCAGTGGTTTCGCCGCCTGCTGCACAAGCACAAGGACCTGAGAGTTCGATCCCCAGTACGGAAAAAAAAAAAAAAAATGGATCTACAGTGCTAGGATTAGCGCCACAGTGAGCACTCTTCAGTGGATACAACACAGCCCAGCAGACTCCTGACCGCCCAACACGTGCCATCTTCATCCTCGTTTCAAGAAGCAGGACTCTGCCTTTCCAGCTGCTTGGGCCAAAACTACTGCACACCCCTGTCTCTAAATCCTGCCCATCAGCTCAGCTGCCTTAAGAAAACAGCCAAGCTTTCTCTGTTCAGCTGGGGCCAGCAGCAGTGACCTTCCTAAGCCGCCATGACAGCTCCACCTGCACAGGGCCAAGAAGCAAGATGGATCTTGACACTGCTCTCAAACGCTCCAGGCCTCCCCTCACTCCAGAAGTCCTAACACACATCTGCCCTCAGTTCTGGGCTACCAGCATCCTACTCTTCCCGACCTTGTCCCCCTCTGTCCCTGCTAAGGCTACTCCAGCTTCCACTCCTTCAGCACCTTGGGCACGGCCCAACCTGATGGAGCTCAGGGTTAGCAGAAGTCTTGAAGAACAAAGGCCTAAAACTAAGGCTGACATCATAGGTTTGCCTCACATCTTTGTGGTGCATGACAGAATAAGTGAAGACATAAAATTAACACAACTGAAGTCCAGAGAAATAAATTGATTTGTGTAAAGTGTGCACCTGAAGGTATCTGTTCATCTCATGTAAAAAAACAAGAATATGAAGATGTTCTCCAGGTAGACTGGCAAAGCAAGTCTGGGTTTGAGCTCACTCTCCTCCTAGGAAACTGCCACAGTGGCAGGGCATGGGGGCAGCCCCAGGGCTGGCTCTGCAGCAGCCCAGCATATCTGCGTAAGGATCAAGGCAGGATCTGATGTCAGCACCCTCACTATAAATGCCTGCAAAGAGCTCTTCCCCTTTTGTTCCTGAGCCATAAGTGGCAAAATGAGGGAGTCGCAGGAGGCAGGAGAGCATATTCAGCCCTTCTCCTTGTCCCTCTTCTCAGGCAAGGAGGGTCAATGCCCAGTCTACAGAGGGTATGTCCTATCTAGGAACAGCAACCGGTACTCAGCCCACTTTCAAGGAGGCATCTGAAGGCCCCGAAGTTTGTGCCAAGGGCCTCCTGCCTCGCACCCTGCTGCTCTGCTCGGTTGCATCCAGGAGCCAGGGAACTGAGGGTGGGAGGCAGAGGTGCATTCAGATAAGCAGCTCTGGCCAGCTGGGCTCCTTGGGCCACTGAGCAGCTGCTGTCAGCAGCTATTCTCCCTGAAGTCTGCTTCTCCCTCACCCCTGCTATCCCTGTATCAGTAAAGGTGTAAGAGGAAAGCTAAAGACCAACACCCCAAGCAAGACCTTGCCAGGCATCTCCTGTCCCCATAGGCCCACTGAAGCCATTAAGATGTCACCAGGGAGGGGCCAGGGATTTAGCTCAATGGTTCCATTGCCTGCCTCACAAACACAAGGTCCTGAGTTTGATTCTCAGTACCAAAAAAAAAAAAGACGTCACCAGGGAGCAGAAACAAGGGAGTGGAGGGCAGGTTTGTCCAGGGCACCCCCAGTTATCTCCCCCGAGGGGCTTCTTTTCAATCTGTTCTGTGGCTATGGCAGAGAGCAGGAGCCCTTTGCAAAGGATGAGCAGAGAGAAAGAACTGGAAAGGTCCACCAACAGGAAGCAGTATGGGCTGGAGCAAGGGGTCCCCACATGGCACCCACCCTCCTCCACCCTGCCGCAGCATGGACACTGGCCTGGGCTGACCACAGAACACACCTGAACAGGAGCATCAAGGCTTGCAAGAACGTCCGGAAGTTGTTGTGCCGATTGATGCTGGTGTCATCGTCCAAGGCAATGTTGCCAAACACCTGAGGCAGAGAACCACAGCATGCTGACACAGCAGGTCCCAGGAGCCACGGCAGAAGGCCGGGCAGGAGAGGGTCTGCATGCAGCCGGGGACCGCCCAGGGCCCGGTGTGCATTCCTAGCACAATCACTTGCTAGCTGCGAACTCAGGTCCCAGAGCTCCACACTTGCCAGCTCCAGCCTGTCCCTGGAATGGGTCCTGGCTCCACTGTGTGTGGGACAAGATGCATTTCAGGTCCTGCTCTTAGTCACCACCCCCAGTCAGGAGTTAGATTGTAATAGCTCTGAGAGTTCACCGGAGAATTTCTTTTGAAACTTTTGTGCAAATAATGGAGCAAGCTTTTTATCCTTTCTAATTGATTTTATTCAGGGTAAGAAATACAAACGTGTCAAGGACCATACTCAGCCTAAAATCTGGAATCTGGCTGCAAATTTATAAACTATCACATTCCCACAATGATCAACAACATACATGCTCTTCTACATCCACAGACCAAAGCAAGATTATATAATATACAATATCAAACCTCAGCAAGTTTTAAACTAAAAGAACTTTCCAATCCTTGTAATTAGAGTTAAGGAAACAGCTCAAATTTAAGGTACTGGCACTTCCAATCATAAACTACCATTCAGTCAATCTCCCAGCCCTGACATTGGGAAGTGACCAGATGCCTAAGCTTAACGGCTAGAATGTTACATTTTAAAAATCCTCAACCCCAAATAGCTACAAAGTGTTCTTTGGCAAAATAAAGATGTGCTAAACTAGGGGATCTGAACTTATCAAATGCAGTGACCACAGTCACCTGACGGCATCTCCTGCGACGTGTCAGGAGCTGTCTTTCATCCCTGCTAGTCCAACAGAATAGCCAAGAATGGGCACAGAGCTGGTCTGCCTCTAGCAAGAGGACACTGGGCAGCCCAGCCTCGGTGCCTCCCTCCCTGAAAGTGTTTCTGAAGGTCAAAGTCTCACAGTCATCTGGCTCCACAGCAAATGTTCACTAAGTGTCCGCTTATTATCATTTAATGATCATAATCCATGCTCCCACGCCCTCATGCTCCTGTGAACAAAAGCCCTGGGCACAGCCCAGCCCGAGCAGACGGCACCCACCTGCATGCCGATGATGGCGTAGATGAAGAACAGCATGGCGATGAGGAGGCACACGTAGGGCAGCGCCTGGAGACACAGGCACATCAACTCCCAGCCCTGTCAGAGGTCCCGAAGACCTCAGCCTGGCCCAGCTCCACCCCAACTACCAGGCCCCAGGCCAAGGGGCAGCTCTGTTCCTTCATCTATTAACTGGGATCATAAAACTCACCTCAGAGTTTCTATGGGCATTAACAAGATAATCTACAGATCATTCAAAATACCTTTATAAACTACAATAGGTTGACAGGTGCCAATGAAGACATGTGTGTGCCCTACCCCTATGCAGCATGCCAAAAGAGGGGAATGCTGGGTGTGCTGGGAAGGTGACAAAGGCAGAGGGACAGAAATCACCTGCAGAGAGCTGTCCCACCCTGCCCACCCTGGTACCGCACTTCACCTTGAAAGACTGGACAAAAGTCCACAGCAGGATGCGGATGGTGTAGCCCTGGCGGAGCAGTTTAATGAGCCGTGCAGCTCTGAAGAGGCGCAGGAAGCTAAGGTTGATGAAGTTGTTCTGCAGAGAAGGAGGATTGCACTCTGACCTTCAGGAATCACCCCCTAAAACTTCAGGCAGGCTGCTTCTACCCCACAAGTTCTCCCTGAGGCCCTGTGGCCTCAAGGACAAGTGCTTAAAAATAAATAAAAAAGAGCTACTGCTTCACAGTTTTAAGTAGCAACTGGCCACCAAGAAAACCTTCCAAAAGAAAAGCTTGTCACTATGAGTCACTTCTCATGCAGCAAATACCCTCTACCCTAGGGGCACTCTCCAACCATGACAGACAGAGACAGAAGCTCTCTGAAACAACTCTCTGCTGCCAAGTGGGGCAGAGAGGAGATGGACTGGGGACCTACAATAGTGACCACCTCTCGTGGGGCACAGCCAAGCTGTTCAGGTGACAGTGGACACCGTGGAAAGGACTCCCCTGTCTAGGCTTGGCAGTCACACCCTCTCCTTCCAGGGAAGGCTCAGCCAGCGAAGTCCCTGCCTGCCTGGGACTGCAGCCGCCTCCTCTAGGGCCACTCCAGTATCTGCAGACATTCAGGGAAAGGGGAGGTATAGCCTCTCTGAAGCTCTTGCCCTGGAAGCTACCAATGCGACCCTCGGACCACAGGTCTCTGCTCCAGAGAACCCATGATGTCTGGCACTGCTCAGAACCAAGCACTGAGGTAAACTGAATAGACCAGATCCCAAAGATTACCTGGTGGTGAGGCTTACCCCAGCATCAGGCACCCTGAATTACTGGCAAGCCCTTTTCAAGGGAGTGTGTCTCTGGGGACCCATCTGAGCACAGATGGGCAGGGCTGTGGAGCCTGGCACTTTCTGCCTACTTAGAGACCAGGTACCTGCACATGCCTGAAGGCAGCTTCCTGCCATTTTGGTGTTTTTAAATATGCAAGCAGCTCAGGCTCTGACGCATTTGTGTTGTCACATTCAGTGACCAAATAAAGAGAAAAGAGAACACAGATGTTGAATGAGACAGCTGCAGAAGTACAGCACATGCAAGCACAAGGGCAGGGGACCCCTGGGCAGACACTCCAGGGCTGCCTGTTTTGGCCAGGTGAGGAGTCCGTGGAGGGATGGGTCTCACACTGAGTTCTGAGATCTCCATTCTGCCTGTCACTTCTATGCTGAGGCAGGTTTCTGTGACCCACCACGGTGGCAGGGCCTCTGGACTGTTGCTGCGGTGGGAGGCTCCAGCCACCTAGAAGGACCCAAGTGGCATGCAGGAGCTCTGGAGGTAGAACTGACTCTGAACAACACAAGAAGGCTCAAGGAGCACAAGAGGCCCAACTGTCCATATCAGCAAGAAGGTGGGACAGGCCTCAGGCCACAACCCTCGAAGGGGCGTTGCTACACCTATAGGTCTCTGACACACATGGCCAAGGAAAGGGAATCTCAGAGACAGACCTGACGGCCAAGAGTGCCCAGTGGCCACTATAGGGCTTGAGGACACACAAACTCGGCCAGCCTCAGCAGACAGGCGTAGGGAAGGCTGTTGTAGGCAGGGTCAGGCAGTCCCTGTGTAAGATGGCAGAGGGTGGAGGACAGGTGTCCAGCCTCTTTATAGCTCCATTTTGAAAGCACATGCTCAGACGGGTCTAAAGGGACAGGGACTGTGACAACGCTGTGCCTGCCAAGCTCAAAGCCATCTATACTTGGGCAGCTGAAACAGACAAGATTTCCTGAAGACTTGGGGAAAATGAAGGCCCCTGGAATGAAGGGATAAAAGCTGATAAAACAGGTGAGAAGTGAAGAATACCAGCTCATCTAAAGGACCTGAAGTGGGGACACAGCCCGGCCTCATTCCCAGTCCTTCTCCCAGGTGAGTACTCAGGAGAGGGCAGGGCTGATGAGACAGGCAACCCTGGAGTGCTGTAGGGACAGATGGCGGCAACAGCTCCAGACGCCCACACGCAGTGATCGGCTGAGCAGCACCATGCCCACGACGCGCAGGACGGCAAGGACAAGCAGCACAGGGCTGTGCGCCACAAAGCACCACCTCTGGCCTCGGTTGACCTCTCAGAAGTGGATGCAACCTGCCTCACCCTCCCAGGGTCTGTAGTTTCTGCTGCACAGGAAGCTGCCACACCCAGTCCAAGGCCAGCCTGGCCCCTGTTGGCACCTTGCTTTCAGTCAGACACCGCTCCACGCAGGGAAGACTCGCTTTGAGGGGACGTCACCTAGCCCCCAGCCTCTGCCTGCTCACCCAGAATCATGCTCAGGCACTCGGGACACCCACGTCCAGGTGGTGAGAGATAACGGAGGCCAGGAATCAACATGTGCCGAGTTCTGTAGGGTCCTGCCCCACAAAGATTACCCCAGCCAGGACCAGTGCCTGGCACCCAGGGCCACCATGGCCTCTGGCCAGTCACAAGGACATGAGGTCCTGCTCCGGAATATCACCTGGACACTGAACCCAGATCCATGGACACTGCTGGCCATGCACCGTGCTGGAGGAGGTCCTGCAGTGGTAAATAAGTGCTCTCTTGCCTTCACTCTAACGGGGACTGATGGATAAGACAGCAAGTGTGCGTACACACATCTATCACACACCTGACGGCCACGTGTGCTAGCAGGAGGAAAAGGAAAGGTGGGCAGGAAGGGCCCTCACAGGACGTGGCAGTTGCCTGGTCTGAGCTGATGGCCTAGGCGCTTCGGCAGCATCCAATGCTATTCTCTCAAAACTCAAGCTTTCCACTCCGGCTATAAGAACCAGCTATACAAACCTTCAGCCTCCATAAAAGGAGTCTCAAATATCTGCTTCTTTAGATAAATTTCCATAGCCACAGCTGAAGCTGAGTTACACCAAACACCCTTACTCTCTCCTCAAAATTCTTCAAAACCTGGCAGGAGGCCCCAGTTGCACATGAACTCTGTAGGTTAGTGACACACAACTGGAAGCCATGCATTCTGCCGTCTACTAGGGCAGGGCCTCCTGCTTCTACTTAGGCCCTTTCTGACCCTTCTGAATCATAGAGTTCAAACCTCCAACCTGTTGGGACTAATGCTACATAATTCTAGGGAAAAATCATTTGATTGGCCCAGTTCTTCCACCCACAGGCCAGCTATGGCATTCCGAGACATAATTCCATTTTGGCCTCGGATCACAACTGAGACCTCAATGATCCCGTGATGCTGTGATGCTTCAGGACAAGACCACACCTTCGGGAGACGCCAGGGAGGAACCAAATCTTCATCTGCATAGTTCCTCATTGTCCTTAGATTTCCAGCCCAGCCCCCGCCAGTCTTTTGCTACACCTTGTTTATCCCACTGTAAAGTACTGAAATCTACATATTCATTTGTTTCTTCTGATGTACTCAATAAAAGGTGCTGCATGCTAGGGGTTTTTGTCTTTGCTGCCCAGAGCAGCACTGATCAGACCCAAAGCTCAGCTTCTTCTCAGTCTCTTTTGTCTACCTTTCCTGTAATTCACCGTGTGCTGCTGTGGCTCGCAGGAGACCAGGACTCACTGCAGAGGTTCTGGTGACGTCCCCTTCCCCTGTTCCCTACACCAACCCTGTGCCCCAGGCCTGATCCCTGTAGGACGACTTGTCCAGGAAGGACAGTTGCTATAGGGGACTTCACAGAGGCCAACTGGGCAAAGAGGAACCTTCTTTTTGTGTTGGCAAGATGGGGACAGCAGAAAACAGATAGTGTGCAACAGAAACCACAGAATTTCAGGGACCCAGACCAATCTCCTCCTGCCAGGCTTGTCAAGAAAATCTGTCCTGGATACTCACCCAGCCCCCAGAATCTCCCACCTCCTTTCTCTGGCCTGATCCTAGACTCAGACAGCTCCTGGGACACCCTCGGAAGCCCCTGTTGTATCCCAGGGGCTGGGGAGAGCACATGAGAGGCCAGAGGTGAGTGCAGTAGAATCCATCCATGCCTCAAAGGGCAATGGCAGGAATCCCGGAAATGAGAGGAAAACAGAGCAGGCAGAAGGAGGATCAATAAGAACTGTTTAAAGTTATGAAACCAACCGTTTCCTATATGTGATGTTTTCATGGATGGGTATTTGCGTATTAATACAAATTAGGGTGGTTTGAGCAGTAGGCGCACAACATACAGACGGAGACATGGGTTTTCGCATTGTATGTTGGTTGTGTGGCGTGAATCAGCAGGTAGGTTAAGGTAAATAAAGAACAAAAACAGAAAACAAAAGAGAAAATGAGTCATCAACACAAGCAAAAACTCAAACTCTGAATACTTAACCAGAAAATTTCAGGATTTTTAGTTAACTGCATATTTGTCTTAAAATGCATCAAATCAAAACAAATGTTTGAAATCTGTAAGCTATGCAGACAGAGCGGCACCTATTTGCATTGTTTGTAATGCAAATCAAAAGATGACTCACAGACACTTTTTTTTTTTTTTAAATTTCCAGGCAAAGAAATCAATGTCAGTTTTGTACATGCTTGGAGCCCTTTCTCCAGGCACCCATGCTAAGACTATTGCTCTATTTTGATTTTCAAGCTGGGGATGGAAACTGACACTCATATTTTTGCCTAAGAAAAAAAGTGCATTCGCCAAGTAAACATATGAAGTGGCTCCAAATGAAAAACAAACACACAAAACACCACCAATCCACATGATGGCTTTCACCTTTTCTCCTTCAGACAGAACAGGAAGGTGACCTGAGCTCCAAGAGTAACAGCGGCCAAAGGACAGCTGAACTTTCAAACCGGCAGCTAATCAGCTCTCCTCCCTACCACCCCTGCCACGCACCGTGGTGGGCAGCGCCTGCCAAGCAGCACTTGCTTGAAGTCAGGCCTGACACAGCCACTGGTTCATTTCCACTGCCGGCATGGCACTGCAGGAGGCCTCCACTGGGAAGAGCTCTCCATGTCTGTGATGTCAGCCAGCAATCCCCTTCCGGTCCTCTTTATGCTCCCTCTGCAGGCAAGAGTTTGGAGGTCTCTCTCTTGGAATGGAGGCAACACCTGCAGAAATCCCTAAAGCTGTCCTTACAACTTTCCATCACTTTATCTGGATGAATAAGAGTCCCTGTTTCCACGGAGAAGTCCCACAGGTACCAGAAATGTAGCCAGCCTGCTCCTTGGAAACCACACTGGGCCTAGTGTTTCTGGGTGAGATGCACACACAGTGAAGGGAGAACCACGTGGGAAATGCACAACATCAAGAGCTGGTGCAACAAGACCATCTTGTTCTTTGTTTTGTGGTTATTTTGATGGGGTGGGGTGGGGTGTATGCAGTTCTAGGAACTAAACTCAGGCCTTTCACACTGAACTGTATTCCCAAACCTTTTTTAAATTTTGAGACAGGGTCTGAAAAGTTGGCAAACTGTCCAGGCCATGCTCAAACTTTTGATTTTCCTGTCTCCGCCTCCCAGAAAACTGCTATCAGAGGCATATGCCACCACGCCCAGCTCTTGGGTTTTGTTTAAATGACAGGTTTAGGCTTTGTGCCAGGAATATTCATTTCATTAACTTTTTAAAACCACAAAACATATCATATAAACAAAAGAATATGTGTAAATATGTTAAAGAAAAAGAAATATCCATATATTCATCACCTAGCTTAAAAAGCAGAACATCCACACCCCTTCTGAAGTCTTCCTTTTTGCTCCTTGTTTTCTGGATGTAGCAGCCACCCTTAATTCCTGTCAATAACTGCTTACCCTTACAATTTTACCATAATCTTTAGAATGCATTATTGCCAGCTTGTTCTCAGCCTCTGTAACGGTAGTTTGTGCAAACTCGGTGTTGAAGTTAGCAGACCCTGCTTCTGAGAGGTATCTTACAGGTGTGGATGCCATTCACATACATGCCTGCTGCTCTAACTGTAGTATTTACACAGCCCATCAGCTGGTACTTAGGCATCTCAGTGTCAGTTACCATGAACAATGCTGCCACAAGCACCCGTGGGAAGACATGAAGGCGGAGGTGTGCACACCACCAACTTTCTAAGTACTGTCAGCTTTTCCAAGAGGTCAGTCGTACAAGTCGACACCCCCACCAGCTGTGTGGGTGAGTTCTGGATCTCCACATTCTTGTCAACAATTGATACTGTCAGAATTTCCAATGTCTGACGAACCAGCGGGTGTGAAATGGCATCTCAATGTTGTTTCAATCTGTGTTTCTCTGACTGCAAACAAGGTTAAACATTTTCCTGTTTATTAGCCATTTATGTTTTCTGTTCTGTAAAATGCCTAATCAATGTACTTTCTGCTCATTTTTCCACTTGTCTGTTTTTGTTTTTATTACTGCCTCACAGAGGACTTTGCACCTTCTGGACATTAACCTTTGCTAGTTGTTTAGAAACACCCCCACCCCCACCCTGCATCCTCTCCTAGCTTCTTTCACAGGTTCTGCTCCTCTACTGGGTTACTAATTAACGTTAGGGTATTCCAGAGCTCAGTCACTTGGGTTTTAATGGCCTTATCTAGTCCCATGAACCTGACACCATGTTATATGCTAATGATTCCCAATTTTACATCACTGGCCTGAATCTGCTCCAAACTCCAGACCCAACTGTCCAGCTGCCTGCTGGACAATTCCTCTGGAAACCTGACATGTCCAATCTCCATCCTGAATTTCTGTCACCTGTTCCACCCACATTCCTTCCCATTTTAATTCACAGAACCCATTTTTCCAAGGGCTCAGGTTCTTGCCTTATCTTTCCAACCCACATCTGCTCCATTCACTGCTCTACCTGAGTTCAGCAGTTTCTCACCTGGCATCCAGCTCCCAGCCAATGGGAATGCTCGGCAGCACCACGGCTCCCAGCTCACTACCTCAGGACAAATACCAACTTCCAGGTTCACATTGTTTTCCAGGCCAGGCCAGAAGTGTCAGAGGTTCAACATTCTCTGCCCCCACCCCTAGAAGCCTTCATCTAGTGATGGACAGCAACTGCTGTTCCCTAGCTCCCTTCAGAATGCCTGAGCACATCCCACACTGGCTCTGGGCTCTCTGGCAAGACTAAGCTCTTGAGACCACGGTGGTGACCCACACCAGCGCCCTCTCTTGCTCCGCCACCCTGTCCAGCACTCCTGAGATTGCCTCCTGAATGAGCGACTCACACCCAACTCATCTCTAGCTGTTTCTGGCAGAACTCAATGGAGACAGCTCCTGACTGGGAAGGATCCCATCACATCCCCAACAAAGCAGTCAGAAGGCTGTCCTCACAGCCAGAGCCTGTCACCCGCCCAGGCCCCGAGTGACGGCAGGGCCTTCTGTGCCCCTTTCCTCTGCGTCAGTGCTCATTGCAGCCCTTGTTCAGCTCAGCACCGCTGCCTCTCTCTGTCCCTCACACATGCATCACAGGCATGGTGAGCACAACCCTTAATCTGAGAGGTTTTCTTCCAGTCATAACTGGTGCTTTATGTTTTGCTTAGCAAATCAGTCCTGTCCCAAGGTCTTAGGGGTAATCTAAATTTTCTTTCTACAAGTTTTAAAGTTTTGCCTCTTATATTTAAGTCTTTCATCCATTTAAAATGGATTTTTTTTTATAAATGGTATAAACTGAGATCCAATTTCTAGCATTTCCTACACTGACACCAATTAACACATTGATTATTGAAGTGTTAATCCGTTTCGCACTGAGCTGCAGTCCTCTCTGTCCTGTATCACATTTCTGTACATGAGAGCTTTGATTCTAGGCTCTTGATTCCATCCACTGAATGCCCCATGGTCTTCATATCCTAGCTTTATAACGAGTCTCATCACTGGCAGGAGCAGATCCCTCCCAGGCCACCCCAGCCACACCTGTTCATTTTAAGTATCGTGACTGCTTGCGGGGGGGGGGGGGGGGCACTGCTCTTCCTCATATATCTAACAGCAGCTTGTGAAATCCCAAAGAAAATAAAAACATTGGTATTTTCATTGAGTCTACACTGAATCATGAATCAGTTTAGAGGAAACTACTAATCCTATGAAACTGACAATAGCTAACATGTAATTCCATCTTTTTTGTACGGGGGATTGAACTCAGGACCTTGTGCTTGCCAGGCAGGCAAGGCACCACTGAGCTATATCCCCAGCCCCCATCTATTTTTAATGTATTTCAATAAAGTTTAGTAATTTTCTACATAAAGATCTTACACACATATTTTGTGGGCTTTATTGTCAGAATTACTGATATTTTAAAGAAATACAATTGACTTGAGTAATCTTGTATTCAGCAACCTTGCTGAACATTAAGTAGTCTTAACACTAGTCTAGGCTTCACACATAGATAATGATAGCATTTGTTCAGGATGATAGTTTTGCTTATTCCTTTTCTAATCCTTGCCTATTTCATTTATTTATTTAGCCCTATTCATAAGTATTTACTGAATGCTTCCAAAGAATTAGGCATTGAACAAAACAGGCAAAAACCTCTCCCGCCGCGGAACTGACATTCAACCTACTGAACTGGCCAGAGCTAGAAGCTCAATGGTGAAAAGAAGTGGTTAGAGGCACCATTGTTCTTTTCTGATTTTAAAAGGAATTCATCCTAAATTTTACCATTATATATGTACAGGGTTTCTTATTGACAGTCCTTATTGAGTAAATAACTCCTACTTGCTAATAATTTTTATTATTAAAAATTTCAGTTTTATTGGATGTCTTCTGTGCATCCCTGAGACTGTCACACTCTTGATCTCCTTTGAGCTTTTTTTTTGGGGGGGGGGTACTGGGGATCTAACCCAGGACCTTGTGCTTGCCAGGCAGGTGCAGCACCACTGAGCTACATCCCCGGTCCTCCTTTGAGCTATTAGTGTAAATTACAGTAATAGATATTCTGAATTGGACCTTGCATTCCTGGAATAAGTCTGACATATTTTCTGCAAGCTGTTGGATTTGGTTTGCTTATATATTGTTTAGGATTTTCCATCATTAGTTAGCATGCGTGGGTTGTGATCTCCCTAACTTACATGCTTTTTCAAAATTTTGGTATCAAGATTATACTGGGCAGCTGGGCACAGTGGTGCCTGTCTGTAGTCTCAGCTACTTGGGAGGCTAAGGCAGGAGGATCATTTGAGCTCAGGAGTTTGACCCCTGCCTTGCGCAACACGGCAAGTCTATGTCTCAAAATAAAATTAAATAATTAAACAACAAACTAGACACATAATACCAGTTAGATAATGTTTATTCTTTTTTCTATTCTCTGGGAAAAAATTGTTTAACACTGGAATGGTCATTCCTTGTAGTTTAGGTAGAGACATACTGTGCAGTACCATAAGACTAGGATGTTTTCTTTGTAGGAAGATTATTTATTTATTTTGGTACCGGGGATCGAACTTGGGACCCTGTGCTTGCGAGACAGGCGGCAGAACCACTAAGCTAAATCCCCGGCCCAGAAGATTATTTATTGATTCATTCCTTTAATACTTTAATAAAGCATCTAAGGTTTTTCTCTCTCCCGTCAGATTTGATTATTTATATTTTTCTGGTAATTTATTTACTTATCTAAGTTTTCAAACACACTGATCGGAGCTGTTCAAAACATCCTATTGTTTCTTCCTCACACCCGTGTGTGGTCACAACCCTGTCTTGTACCTTCTAAGCCACAAGTATGCCATGGAGCTGCACGACACTGGCTCCTTCCTCATCCAGTACTCCTATTCTTCAGCAGCTATTAATGGGAACATTTCCTAATAAGTCACATCTGGGTCACAGGTTCTGACCCTAAGCCACTGGGCCTGAGCTGGTTCCTTAGAAGCAGACTTTAAGGATGGGGCCCCTGGGGATGGCTCATAGGCTAGATTCTCCTCTGTTGGTGGTAAACAAAGTGACAGTAATACCTGGTGTGCTTAGGGATGAAAACACTGATACCCTCACCTTGGGTATATCTAAATGGGGTACAGAAGACTCAGAGAGGTGAACATGCCAGAAGGACCTCCTATATACCACCAGCTGACTAGTTCCCAGAGTGACAGCACAAGGACACTTCGGGGAGAAGGACATGGCACCACTCGTCAGTGGTGGGCACCAACTGCAAGCCAAGAATTCCCCCTCATACATCCATTACATCAATGTCTTCCTGAGCTCACCCTGCCATTGCTCCACGGGGGGCAACCTGAAGAGGAACTGGTTTATGGATGAATTGGCTTGATGCATTGGTACAGGCCTCACTAGAGCTCCACAAAGGGATAGCTTGAAAGAGTGGTGAGGCAGTGCCATGGTCAGCCACTGTGTGTGTGGACAAAGCAGCTGCCTTTAAGGGTTCCAAGACCCTAGGCAGGGGCAAAAGGGGTTGGTGAGAATGGTGTTTGGGGGAAAGGCATGGAGATGGGCCTTGGAAAGAGCATGGTATGCAGGCCTTTGTACTGTACAAAGATGCCCACAAGAGTGCAACCATGGCTGTAGGGTCACTCAAAACCAAGTGTTGGTAGCTGAACACAGTAGTACATACTGTGATTCCAGCTACCTGGGAGGCCGAGGCAGGAGGATCATTAAGTTCAAGGTCAGTCTGGGCTACACAGCAAAACTCTGTCTCAAAATTTTAATACAGAGGGCTAGGGATATAGTCCAGAGCTAGAGTGTCTGCCTAGCATGCTCAAGGTCCTGGGTTCAATCTCTAGGACCACAGGAGTAAAAAGTATTTAATGAGTGAACAACAGATGCCAGGCAGCCTCTGTCCTCACCATTCCCAACAGGTACACAGCAGAACTATGAATGGAGTCGTTATGATGGCCAAGACCTTCCTGGCAAGGCTGAGCTAGCTAGCCCTGGCCAGTGTTGTCCACTTGCTCAGAGCATGCCTCCATACAGTGCCACACCAGGAAGCTACAACCAGCCACTCAGTGGTATGCTGACCATACATACCCCTCACCTGAAAGGGGCAGTGATTTTCCTCAGCTGGGCGCCACCAAGTCCCAAGCACCTTGGCCTGCATAAGGGTCTGCAAGCTAGCCTCAGACTGATCAACACAGAAGTCCACATAACATCAACTCCCGGCAAGCAAAGTTGGTTCAAGGAGTCAGTGGTCAAAGGATGATCCACTGGTGTCTCAAACACCACAGCACCCAGATAAAATGCTGAAACAATCCAAAGCACAGACAGAATGCTAGGCTAGCAATGTACCTCAGGAGGCTAAGGTGCTGTACTACAAGGTGAACCACACCCAGACAGTACTGGGACAGTACAGTGCATAATCAATGGAATGCACGGACATGGAAGGCAAGGGAGGCCTCTCTCACCAGCTCTCCAGAGAACCAATGTGGACCTAGTGTTCATCTTCACCACAACTTTGGGTTAGATGAATCTACAGGTCCCATTCAAAGCGGGAGAGAAAGCTACAACCAGAGACAAACCGGGAAGGCTCAGGCCAGAAGGCCAGCAGGCAATGCAAAGAGTTTCCTTTCTGGCCAGGGTACCTGAGCCTGTCTATTGGGAAGGGCAAAGCTTCTGCTATATAATAATAATGGAGCAGGAAAAAGTCTGTCTTGGAGCCAAGAGGTTTTATAGGGCCTCCCTAGATACTCCTATAGCCAGTCTTAACTGTGACTGGACTATTACAACAGCCAGAATCAGACAAGGGAATGGCAACCAGGGGCTGGGCACCTAATCAGGCCAACCAGGGCAGGAGAATGCTGACGGCAGGTAAGGGGCTCCAGAAGGAATGGTGGAGGGACAAGAGAATGACATCAGCTCTGCATGGACCAACACAGCAGGGAGCTCACCTGTCTCCCAGAGCACTTGGCTGGTAGAACACACCACATACCCAGCATGAGGTGTGTGTAGAGCTGAGCAGGGCCAGACAAGAGCCTGCATCCTACACCATGGTCCTAGGTGATAGCACACAGTGTTCCTGGGTGTGTTATGACTGCACGCAGTGCACTCAGGGCAGGTGAGGTGTCTGAGGGTTGACTGTTGGTAGAGCCCGTAGCGCCCCCATACAATGCAGAGGTAGAAAAATTCACAGCTCCCTTTCCCTGGAGGGCCAGCTCTGAGGGAGGACCTACCCCATCTCAGAGGTCCCCTGGGGAATGACCCAAATCCTGCCCTGAATGTGACACTGCTGGTCCTCCTCCTCTTCCTCAGCTATGACCCCACTGGCTTTTCTTCTAAAGATGTAACTTATACATGAACCCGCATTTCAGTCTCTGCTCCCAAAGATTTCAAACTGAGGCAAACAAAGCAGATTTTCTGCTATTTGTTTCCAACTTAATGTCTTGCACTAAAAAACAAAAACAAAAACATTTGTCTTTTAATTCAGACACTTTGACATCTGTTGAGGTAAGTTTTTTGTCCTAGCACTGGTCAATTTTCAGATATAATCCATGTTTCTGATATGACTATCTCCAGATAAATAGATGGATGACAGATATAGGTAGATAGGTAGACAGACTGATCTATCTCACAATCCTGACATTTCACTTGGTTTGATGTACATACTTTTGAGACTAAATTATTATATATGTATACATCAGACACATACAAATTTAAAGACTGCTGTCTCCTTGGTCGGCTGTTACCATGGAGCTCCAGAAGATGGATTCTCAGGCCACCAACCTGGAAGACCTCTGGGAGGCACTTTCTTATCCAAGAAAGAACGTTTACCAAGACAACATCCATCCCCCCAAGCTCCTCCTCTGGGGAGGCACCTCCCTCTGTCCTGGAGATGCACAGAGGGGAAAACCCTCTATAAGGAAACTACGTTGGGTCCCCGGAGGGGAGACAAGAAATGCTACTTACCGCAATCTCTGTTACTAAAATATCAGTAATACTTCCCAACACAGTGACAAAGTCAAAGACATTCCAGGCATCTCTGAAATAGTTCTAGAGAAAAAGAAGAGCAGTTAGTGCTAACTGGTGTAGGTAGTGGCCCTTGATCAAGAAAGGGCAAGGATGATGGAATCTCAGCACAAAGCCAGTTACATGCAGACGACACCTCTGGAGCAGGCATTCTCGTCTGCAGCACTGGGAGACATATGTCCTAGCACTGCCTGTGTGCCGGGACCGTGCTGGGGCAAGACTCAGGCAGCGGTGAGAGCCAGCGCAGCCCTTCTTGGAGTTCCTACAGTGTCATGTGTGCTCTTGGGAGTCAGAGAATTCCCAGATGCAAACTTTGAGTCCCCAAAGGTCACCCAACCAGGGGGAGCCAAAATGTAGGCCACCAAAAGGCAAAACGAGAGTCAAAGCACGTACCAGCACCCCAAAGGCGATGATCTTCAGCACGCATTCCATGGAGAACATGGATGTGAACACAATATTCAGGCATTTCAGCATCAGCTCATACTCGTAGGGTGCATCGTAGAACTGCCCAAGAAATGAGGTCAATGGCTGAGAGCTCAGGAGCCCCAGATACCTCACCTGGGACCACCAAGGACAGTGGGCATACAGACCCCACACCTGCCCGTGCCTGAACCAACCCTCCTTACTCTCCCCCCGAGTTCTCGCAGAATCTTCTCACTGTCTCAGCCCACAGACAACAAAGGCTGGGATCTCACAGCCTCCCTGTACAGGCCAGGATGTGAAGTAACTGCAGCTCTGGTGTATGCTGGCAACAAGAAGGCTGGGTAGAGAGTAGTCTGGGACCCTGATCTCTACAGGTGCTAGCTAGTCGCCCACATACCTTCATCATCAGCACCACAGTGTTGAGAGCTATCATGGCCATGATGAAGTACTCGAAGGGCGGAGAGACTACGAACGTCCACGTCTTATACTGGAATGACTGCCTATTTTGAGGCATGTATCGTGTCAGGGGCTTGGCGCTGATGGCGAAGTCAATGCAAGCCCTCTGCATAGGGAGAAAGAATACCTTGAACTCAGGGGGCACCCAGCGCTGTGGCCCTACTGTTCCCAGTGTTGTCCCACTGTGGCCCATGAGGAGCCCAGCTAAGAGAAGACGCAGCAGAGGCAGCCCAGGCCTCTTCCACACAGGTACTAACTAACCAAAAGCAGCCTTCCTCTGTGGAAGCAAGGAGGTCCTGCCTGTGCTGGCTATGAGTCTGGTATGTGCCAAAGGAAAGCGTGCTGGTTCTGCCCATGCTGCCCATCCAAGAGTGCACAGAGCATTCACCTACCTCATTCTTCTCCAGGCTGCATTCAGACATCACCTTGTCCCCCTGCTCCTGGAAGGTGATGATGATCAAGGCCACGAAGATGTTGACAAAGAAAAAGGGGAAGACCACAAAGTAGACCACATAGAAGATGGAGAGCTCCATGCGAAACCCAGGGCTTGGTCCCTGCTCCTCATAGGTGGCATCCACAGAGTGTTTCAGCACCCTGGCCAAGGGGACAGCAGACATCAAGGGAGCTGCCCAGGAGATCAGAACCTGCACTACAGGGACAGTTCGGGTGTGGTGAAGGCCGGTGATGGGGCAGGGATGTCAGGGCTGGAGGGGGTAAGCTGAGCTCACAGGTGCCTGCCTCAGCTTCCTCTCTCTCTGCTAACCAGCTGCCCTGAGCTAGGAGCACTCACATAGGCCACCCTTCTCCCGTGGACACTGTGAACAGTGTCAGCAGGGCCCAGAGCACATTGTCGTAGTGGAAGTCATATTTCTTCCATTGCCTTGGCTGTGCTTCCACTTCCTCCTTCTCATAATCCAAATACTGACCCCTGAGAAAGGAAACACAAGGGAGGAGAGGTTAGATAAAGGGTCTAAAGAAACCCATGTGTCTCGGTCAGCTCATTTTGAAAAGGGTACCAGGACCATCCCATGTTGAAACCTGGCCTCAATAGGTGGCAGCGGACAACTGGACTTCCATTCGTCCTGATGCACAAGCACACATTTGGACCCTAACCTCGCTCCATGTCTTCAAATTAATGTAAAATAGTTCAAAGACCTAAATATCAGTGCTAAAACTATAATATTTTGAAAGAAAACATAGGGGTAAATCTTCATGGCCCCATAGCTGGGGATGGATTTTTAGATATGGAACCAGAATCATGAGCAACAAAAGAAAAAAAAAAAAGAGAGAGAATGAACTTCATCAACATTTTAAATTTCTGTATTTCAACTGATACCATCAAGAAAGTGAAAAACAAAGCACAGACCAGGAGAGAGTATTTATTAGGTATCTATCCAACAAAAGACCTGTATCTACAATATACAAAATCTTATTAAAATTAATAAAAAAGACAAACCAATTTAAACAACAGGTCAATAAGAAGACATACAAAGGGCCAGTTAGCACATGAAAAGATTCTCAGCGTCATCAATTGTCGGAGAAAAGCAGATCAAAACCACACTGATGGGCCGGGGATTTAGCTCAGTGGTTCCACCACCTGCCCCGCAAACAAAAGGACTGGAGTTCGATCCCGGGTACCAAAAATAAACCACACTGAGCTATCACTTATTTCACTCCTATTAGGATGAATATAACTAAATAAAAGCAAAAAACAAAAAGGAAAATAATGATTGGCAGGGATATTGAGAAATGAGAACCCTCATACACGACTGGTGGGAATATAAAATAGTCCAGCCACTTTGGAAACAATCTGGCATTTCCTCAGACAGTTAAATACAGCCACCATGCCACCCGTCAATTCCATTCTTAGGTGTACAAAATATCCGAAAGAAAAGAAAATGCAAGTCTACACAAAAACTTGTGCACAAATGTTTACAGCAACATTATCCATAATAACCAAGAAGTGGAAATAAACCAGAAGCCCATCAACAGGTGAATAAAAAAGTAAAATGTGACATATTCATGAGTCATGTTATAGTTTAGATATCAAATGTCCCCCAAAACTCTTGTGTTCAGAGGTCGGGCTTTTGGAAGGCAACTAACCACGGGCAGCTACAGTCCTTAGAGGATGAGGTGTGGCCTGGTCAGAAAAGACAGAATGGGCTGGGCATGGTGGTGCATGCCTGTAATCCCAGCACTCCGGAAGCTGAGGCAGGAGGATTGCTGGGAATTTGAGGCCAGCCTGAGCTACACAGTGAGTTCAAGGCCAGCCTGAACTACATTGTGTGACCTTGTCTGAAAAAAAAAAAAAAGACAAAGAAAAGGGAGATCACTGGGGGTGACCTAGATGGGTATATTCTTGTTCTTGGTTCCTCCCTTTCCTCTTTCTCTCTTCCTCCCTCCCCTCCCTCTCCTTCCTGGCTGCCATGGGTTAAGCAGCTTTCCTTCTCCTTGTCCTTCCACCATGCCATTTCTGTCTTGCAGCCAGCCACTACAATCATGAACCAAAATAAACGTCTCCTTCTTAAGCTGTGGGCATTAGGTATTTTGTCCCAGTCACAGGAAAGTGTGATTCATACAGAAAATTGGTCTCAGGAGTGGGCCCAAGGCTGTAACTGTTCTGATCATGCTGTTCAGAAGCCTCTGGAACTGGTTTGCAGGAGGAGTTTAGAAAAGTTTGAAGAAGCCTTTCGAAGCCTTAGAATGCTGTGAGCAGTGCTTGCTGGGCAATACTGGAAAGATATCACAATATCAGAATGCTGATAGAAATGCAGACAGTAAAGGTCAGGCTTATGAAGTTTCAGCTGGGAACAAGGGCTCTATTGGAAACTGGACTAGAGGCCATGAGTGTTACATACTGACAAAGAATTTGTCTACATTTTCCCCATGTACTAAGACTTTATGTGAGACTGAATTTAAAGGTAGTGGACTAATCAATCTGGTGGAGGAAATTTCAAGGCAGCCCAATGTTCAAGCTATGGTATGAGTACTACTGGCTGCTTTTAACCAGATCCACAGTAAGAATAGGAGCAAAAACACAGTGGAAAGATGAGAAAATTTTGCAACTTGGCCAGAAAGTAAGTGTATGTAAAGTTGGAGCCAATCACAGCATGATTGCTGAAAAGATTAGCCCTGAAAAGAAGCCAAGTACTTTGCATCAGGACAATAGGACAGACACCTTGTGGGCCTATCAGAAAAGGCCCAGATCCCACCCATCCCAGGTTAAAAGGTGAAAAAGAGTAAACTCCTTTGAAAGACCTTACTTTGAGAAGAGAACCCCAGAGTGCCCTGCTCATTTAGAGCTGCCCTGAGTTAGCTATTCGGGTACTCAGAGGCCACAGCCAGCGATGCTCCCAGGGCCCCAGGCTACCGTCCCAGATGGCAGCAGACCTTAGTATCATTCACGTGGTGAAGGTTTTTCAGACATGCAAAATGTAAGAGTTGTAGGGCTGTGGTGATTTCCACCCAGATTTCAAAGGAAAGCCTTGGAGGGCAGGCAATGTGCCCCTGAGGGCAATGCACAAAGCTGTAAGCACGAAGCTAAAGGTGCAACGGGGACCTCAGGAAATTAAAAGATGCCAGGAATATGCCATGTCCACCAGGGAATGCAGAAGGCAGCCAGCAGAGCCAGCCTGAGAGACAGGCCATGTGGAGCAACATCACAGGCAGGTCTGCCCAAGCCCTCTGTAATTTATACCTTGCCACAGCCTGCCTTGGCTGGTAGATACGGAATTACAGAATTTAATGTTCATTAGGTGTTTTTTTTTGGTACCGGGGACTGAACTCAGGTCCTTGAGCTTGCGGAGCAGGCAGCTGAACCACTGAGCTAAATCCCTGGCCCTGAATTTAATGTTTTCCTGGCTAGACTTGAGACTTGCTTTGGTCCAATTCCATTATATCCCTCTATTCCTTCCTTTTAGAATGGGAATGTTTACCCTGTGCAATTGTATGTTTGAAAGTATTTAATTTTTTTTCAGATTTGTACAGGGCCTCATACTTAAGAGTTTGCCTTGAATCTCAGAGAACACTTTCCACTTGGACTTTTCAGCAGTACTGGAACTGCTAACATTTTGGTGACTTTAAGAGGCTAAATGGATTTTGCATAATGAGATGGATATAAGCATTTTGGAGACCAGGTGCAGAATGTTATGGTTTAGATCTAAAGTGACCCCCAAAAGTCTTTGTTTAGGGGTGAGGCTTTTGGAAGGTGACTGACCATAGGGGAGCTATACTCATCAGCGGATGAGTTCACAGCTGAATGTGCTCCTAGCCTGGTCAGAAGAGGCAAACCACTGGGGACATGACCTGGAAGGGTATATTCTAGAGCCTGGCTCCTCCCTTCTCTTTCCTTGTCCTTCTCTCTCTCCCCTCTCCCTCTTTTTCTTCCTCTCTCTCCAGGTGTACTTCTGGTTTGGTTTGGTTTTGTTTGGTACCGGGAATCGAATTTGGGAGCTTGTGCTTGCGAGGCACGTGGTGGAACCACTGAGCTAAATCCCTGGCCCTGTACTTCTGGTTTTGATTCTGGTTTTTCTGAGGTGATGCAAATGCTCTAACATTGACAGTGGTGATGGTTGTATATATCTACACATGAATACTTAGAAACCAATGAACTATATACTTTAAAAGGATTACATGAGTAAGTTGTATGGTACGTGAATTGTATCTTAATAAAACTGCTAAAAACACCAAAAGATAACATTGCAGTGGGGACAGTAATATTTTTCTAATAAATTATGCCAGGTAACTGATTATCCATCTTCAGAAAATGTATCTCTGTCCATGCCTTCTACAAGACAAAATTAGTTCCAACAGACTAGATCTGAAGGTGAGAGGCAGAAACAACACTTCGGAAGAAAATATCCTTCATCTTGGGATAGATTTCTTAAGTAGAGTAGAGAGTAGTAAACATAAAAGAATATACAGTGATACTTCGGTTCACAAACACTTGTGAACATTTTGGTTCATAAACACAAGTGTTTGGCAAAATTGTGTTTCTGTGTGCAAACTACATCAGGTGACAAACATGACCATGGTTATCTTTCCTGCATGAACATGAACATGGCTATCTTTTTTAGAACTGTGGAACGAATTAAGTTCATGAACCAAGGTACCATTGTAAAAGGTAAGTGGGACTATGCTGAAATCTTGCTCTTTAAAAGACACTACTGTTCTTTACAGTGTGTTCTTTAAAAACCCCATTGAAAAAATTGAAAGCACCCCACAAAGGAAGAAAAGACACTTATAATCCTAAGATCATGTGAAGGTCCCTACTCAGGACGTGACAGAATTCCTACAAATCAACCTAGAGACAAACAACCCACACAGGAAAATGGGTAAATACTTGAAATGGACACTACCCATGAAAGGGCATCTGAGAAGCCAATCCACTAGGAAAGGAGGTGCAACCTTACTAGTCATCTCACAAGCATAAATCAAACCACTGTATTCCAAAAAGCTGAAGAGCAAGACAGAAGACATCAAGTGAGAATAAAGAGCTCTCTCATTCATGCTGGAGAGGAATCACGTCAACAAGTGTTTGGCAATATCAGCAAAGCTGGACACAGGCACAACCCACGACCCCTCCTAGACTGACCTCCCAGATGTCTGCACATGCTCCCCCAACAGATACCCACATGGGATTCTTATAGTAGGATTGCTCAGGACAGCCCCCGATGGAAACCACTCACATGTCTACCCATCACAGAATGGATCAATAAGTTGTATGACATCCACATAACCAGCAACAACAGAGACCTTTGCTGTGCAAGTAGGAAAGAACTGTTCAACTGACCTTAGGTAGGGTGCTCATTTTGATATCTGCTCCCCAAGGGGACCTCTCCTGTCTTGAGGGTAGAGTGGGCCCAGGCAGATGTGAGGCATCACATGGACAGTGAAAGCATCCCCAGCTGTGAGCAGCCCCTCTGACCGTATAGCCCAGGCTAGATCTCTAGCTAGGGTTTAGCTTGAGATAACCCTGGGGCACAATACCCCAGTGACTACAGTGAGACCCTTGGATGTCTGCAGGCAAAGCAGAGCTTGTCCCTAACCATGCTGAAACCCTGCTGAGGCTCTTCCCCGGGAGACCCCTCTTCATTACCAGCATTACCCAGCCAGGCCTCACTGCGTGTCCCCACTTTGCAGAGGAGTCTCCTGAGCCTTCTGACCAGTCCCACCTGGTCCATGAAGAACACTAGCAGTTCCATCCTGGCGCTGAGTGCTCCCCACCCTGCCTCAGTTTACCTGCAGTCCCTCTCCAGCTCCTTGGATTCATCAGTGCAGTAGAAAAACTTCCCTTTGAAGAGCTGTACTGCAATGACGGCAAATATGAACATGAAGAGCATGTAAACAATCAGGATGTTCAGGACATTCTTCAGAGAGTTCACCACACAGTCAAACACAGCCTGCAGGCAGGAGAGCAGAGCTTTGTGAGAGCGGAGGGGCCACATGGAAGGAGCAGGTCCATAACAAGCGGAGGGGCTGAGTACTCCCCGGAGGCTGAAGTGGCAGTGGTGAGGCTAAGGGGATCGGTCGGGTGTGGGCACACCAACAGGGAGTACAGGGCAGGCAGCCAAAGGCCGGGCAACTCAGGACCAGTGAGGCCCAGACATCGAGGGGCACTGAAGACCCCAAGCACGAAAGACACTACCGCCAACACCAGCACGGGGTTAGGTGGCCACTATCTTTCCCTCATGAAGGGGTCACCCGGCCTTGATCGATGGCATGGGCAGCAGGTGCTAGAAGAGGCTGGCTGCCCAGGAGAACTGCGATCGGGCCACAGAAAAAAGCCAGGAGGGGCCAGGCCTGTCAGGGAATGCCTCTTGTCCTAGCCTTGCCCTGCTCCTGCCTATGTGCGGCAGGATGGCCAGTCTAAAGACAAAGCAGCCAGGCTGTGGCCCATACAGAGGACCACGGGACAGGGACTCAGGGCATGTTCTGGGGCCCCAGGCGGACAGTGGTCTGTGACCACCACCCATTGGCTTTCTCTTAGGTTCCGCTCCTCCCATGCGGCCCGCTCCCAGACCCTGCAGACCCACATCTCCAGAGATGCTGGCCAGCAGGCACCTGCCGCACAGCGCCCTTCGGCCGCACCAGGCATGGCTTTTCCTGGCCTGGAAGCTCGGGGGCCTGCCCACGTCACCTCCCACCCACCCCTTCAGACATGAGTTCTAGACAAACTGTTCTTGTACAGTGTTCCCTGCAGTTGTGGAACTCAACTTGCTCCAAATTTGTGTTTGAACACCAAAAAGTCCAAGAACTGAATGTATTTTTCCCATCAGAAATAATGGAAAGCCAGATAATTGGTTCTGAGGCCCAAAATGCACACTTAAAAATTCATTTTTCTAGGACTTTAACAAGTTTTGCAGTGATTTCTTTCTTTAAGTCTATCTTGGTTCTCACAGTTTTCCTCTTAGCTTTACTGCTGGTATCACTGACTTTCTTTGGAGCCATGGTTATGATATTTTAAGCAAATAAAGCACACACAAAAAACCAGTGACGAATGTTTAACACACGACCATGAGCACTGTACGCTGTCTGGGCAAGAGTGGTGCTTAGACGGAAGCATCACCCCTCTGTGTCTGCAGTGAGACACAGCGCATGACTCACTCAGCCCGTACAAGTTTCTTCAGGTTGGGTTTTCGGCTTGACTCTCGAGCAAAGTTACAAACACCAAGCAGATTTTTTTTTAAGAAGTTTGAGCTTGGAGTCTGTAGTTTCTACTTGGCCCAGTGTCTCTAAGGCTTGAGTGCCCAGCTGGTAATGAGAGCCCACAACATAGGTCTGGAGGATTAAAAGAGATGAAAGCGGGGGGGTGGGGCAGAGGATTTAGCTCAGTGGTTTCACCGCAGGCTGTGCAAGCGCAAGGACCCGAGTTTCATCCTCGGTCCCAAAAAACAAATAAAAGAGATGAAGGAAAGGAAGTATAGGCTCAGTAACTATTAAGATTGGGCTTATCCTCTTCCTTCACCCAGAACCTCAGCTGTGCCCACCTTCCACGGCCCAGCCCATCAAGCACTTTCTGGGGGGCCTGCTGGCTGCTTCCTCCCCCACATCCTGTGCCCCTGGGCAGCCCCCTCCTTGCCCTGAAGCATTGAAGAAAACATCAAGCCTCACTGGGGGCTCCTGGGCTACAGAAAAGGGGGCTCATGGGAGACTGCTCAGATCAAGCTCCGCTTGAGGGGGTGTAGGGCTGAGCAAGCCACTCTCCCCATGCAGGGGAGTGATCTGAGAAGATGCACACAGTCTTACACACGTGCACACACCACTCACACTGCACTGCACACACATCCTCAAGCCCCAAATCCAGGCTCCTACCTTAAGCTTAGGCAGCCGTTTGATAGTCTTCAGGGGCCTCAGGACACGTAGAACCCTCAGGGACTTGATGGTGTTGATGTCTTTCCCTTTGGATCCTCTAGAAGGGAGAAGCCGAAGATGCAGATAGGCAAGGTACAAGGGTGTGCCTTGCTCCCTCCCAGTCTGAGGTGTGGTTCACAGGGCCCTTCGAATTTTGTCTCAGTCTCCAGGACAGAGGACCCAGTTCAGGAGGTTTCTCCCTGTGGCTGCCTGCTCTGGGCCCTATCTGAGGACAAGGGCCCAGGCCAGGGCCAGTTTAGCAGATGTGGTACACAGGGACAACTGAGTGGGTGGAAAGAGCCCATTCGCTCAGACCACGACAGCTGCTTCCATCTCCCAGTGCTGACACCGGGCCCAAAGCAGCTTCCAGCAACAAAGAGCATCAAGGGGCCTGCCATGTGGCTGGAGGCCAGAGGGGGGGGGGGGTCTGTGAGTAAGCCCTGTGGTGCTGGGGCCTGATCTGGGTGCTAGAGGCCGTGTTTTCCTGCTTCTCATGGACAGGCTTGTCTGGCTCCTGCTCTGCAATCCACCTGCCTGTCCTCAGGGACCCACCCTCTTCCAGGTGATACGAAACTGACCAAAAGGAAGAAGGGCAAAGGAAGAAGAGTAAAGAAAGAGAAAGTTAGACAAATACAGAGGCAAGGGCTAACACAGAGAAAAGCAGTCAGGAAAAGAAAATTTCTGACACCAGAAGCAGGCTCAGAAGCCCAGAATTAAAGGACCCAGATCAGGGCCCTCACAGCAGCCAGAGCAGACCTAGGTAATTGCCTCTGCCTCTTGGGGACCCAGGAATTGGTTGTCTAGGCGAGGCCAGCTGTGTGAGAAGCTCCCCACTGAGGAAGTCTCGCTCACCCCAACAAGGAGCACTCAGGACTGGGCAGCATCCCTCACACAGAGCCCTGCCCAGGCTGCTCAGAGGCCACTCCTCAAGACATCCAGCCCAGCCTGCCTGGAACAGTGGGCCTGCCCCAGTGGCTCCCTCAGGCACTGGAAAAACTCTGTGCTGAGCAGGAGGAACTGCCCATCCCAGGCCTTTCTCCCAAGAAAAGTGGAGCTCAGCCCCCACTTCTCCCCCTTTGCAAACTAGACCAAGCTGCCCGAGACACCAGGCTCAGATACTGCCACTGCCCCGCACCATGGAGGCCCTGCACATGCCCTCCCAGTTTGCTTCCTCTGTCCTCCAGAAGGGGTACAGGGGGACTACTCTAGACTGCACCGTGGCCCAGCGCAGGGGGTGGAGAGGGGTCTCCAGGCAGAGCGCCCCTGGGCTCGGGGCCGCAGGGCTGAACACTGCTCCTAACTGAAGCCCTTTCTACCGTCTTGCAGTCCCCACTTCAAGGCCCCTTGCTGACACTCTGGCCAAGTTCTTGCTTCCTCTGTCATTAGAAGAAGGTCCATGAAGACACCCTGAGGAGACTAGGCGTTGCAAGGTGGTGTACAGAAGAAGGAAAGAAAGCGTCACTGTTTTCAGAGAGGCCGCATGGGAAAGCACGCTGGAGTGGCCAGGACCCGGGGCTACGGCCGCAGCAGCTGCTCCCACTCAGATCCCTCCTTGTACTCTGGGCCAAGGTCTCAGCCTCCAGTGCTCACTCAGGACACCCTGCTCCCTGGAAACCTCACCAGAGGCCACACTCCCCAGCCCACCCCAGCCCCGATCCGGCCCCACAGGCATGGCAGGGATGATGGCCTAGGGATGGCTCCTGGCGGCATGCAGCCCAGGCAGGCGGAGGTGGGTAAGTGCAGTGAGGCCGATGATGGGACAGCCAGAGGCCTTGGCTGTGCTGAGATGTGGGGCAGGGGGCGGGGAAGGCATTACCCCATGAAGCTCCTACCGAGAGTCCAGCAACAGGAAGACAAAGAGAACAGAGTCAGTGCCGTGGGAGAGCAGAGGGGCAGCGAAGATGCAGGCCCTTCCCTCAGTACCTGGCCTCCACCACGGTCCTGCTCATCACACTCTCGCCCAGGACGTCCCGTGTCCCCCCACCCCTGGCCCAGCCGAGCGTCACACCCTCCACTCAGGGTTTGGGGAACCCCACTCCAGTCCCAGCCACTGCCAGGCTAGGCACTACTCCCTCAGGATCGGAAGGAAGTGTCTGCCCCAAAAGGGGAAGACGCCCACCGGCTCTGGCTGGGGAGGAAACCGCCAGTCAGGCGCTTGGCCTCAGAAGGGCTCCTCAAGACAAAAGACAAAAAGCCAGAGCCTGCATGCCTACCTAGTCCCAGACTCCGGGCTGAGCTGTGGACAGACAGGGCTCGGTCCTGCTAACATCGCACACTCAAGCCTAGGCAGGCAGGGAGGGGCCGCACGGGCAGGTCTGGAAGACCCAGCACGGCTGACAGGGTCTGCCTCTCCTCTTCACCCAGTCCCACCATGGTTCTGGGGCTGCACCCACGAGATCTGTAGCGAGTGTGGTTACTTACGAGAAGGCAAAGGCCACCAGGGCCCCACTGACCACAATGAAGTCCAGAATGTTCCACAGGTCCCGGAAGTAGGCTCCAGGGTGAAGTAACAGCCCCAAGTCAATCATCTGCAGGGGAGAAGCACACCTAGAGTATCCCATTCTATCCCAGGAGAGGGAGGCAGGGCTGGCCAGCCACAGAGCACTCTGCACACAGAGGCAGCAGTGCCGCTCTGGCACCCCTCCCATGCACGGGCAGGCCACACCCTCTAACACCCTCAGTAGGGTTTCTGACTCAAACATCTCAACAGCTTTCCTACATTCCTCACCTCCCCAGAGCCCTACCGAGACTGTGAAGTCTCTTGTTTCCCTCTGGCCCTCCATCATGGGGCAGCAGGCACACATTTGAGCCTAGGGAGCTCACATCCTGCCCAGACCCCAGAGGATCAGCTCAGGGCAATGAGAAGAACTGGTTGGAATTTCACAGATCTCTACTCACATCCTGGCTCTGCCACTCCTACCACTGCTTTTTTCCTGCACTGAAGTTGTGAGTGTACACACACATGTGCATGTCCACTTGCAGTGAATGCACACCTGTGTAAGCACACACGAGAGCCACCTTGTCAGATGTGGGTAAGGGCCAACTTGTGAAGGAAAATGAAGGCTGACATGGCAGGACAGACTCAGCCTACTGTCAAACACAATACCCACTGAAATTTGGTCTATGGCCTGCACTCCCACAGTCCTCCAGCCACTTCACTCTCCGGGTCTCCTTGTCCTCTAACTGAGGCCACACGGCCCTCTCCTCTGGGTGCACCTGTTTCCCGGGAAGTTGCTGAGCCTGGAACCCATGTGTTCAGGAGCCAAGTAGCAAGACCAGGTGCCACTGGGGGGACCCTTAGTGCCTCTCAGAATACATCGTGACATGTAGCAGACACCCTCATCATCACTGAGCACAATGTGGTGCACATCCTAAACGACCCCCATTGGAGACCATGGGAACCATGGCTCACCTTTATCACCATCTCAAAAGTGAAGACACCTGTGAAGATGTAATCCATGTACTTCAGAGCCTGGAACCAAAAGGAAGGTTACTCTCCGAGGCTGGGCAGGAAGCAGAGCCAGGACCGTCCCTGGAGCCCCAGCTTTCCCTTAGAACCGAGCAGATGACCATCAGCCGGGGGCGCACTAAGACAGGCTTCCCTCAGGGGCCAGGCCCCCCGCCAGTCGAAGCCCGGACTCTGAACCAGAGGGCAGACACAGCCAGAGAGGAGGGGTGCTGGGTGAGGAGCCAGGACCCCCACACCACACCCCACAGCCCTGGGAACGCGCCCCAAGTGGTCCCATAGCTTAGTGGCAAGCTTGGCCCTCAGGGCCACTCACATTGTTTCTGGACGAGTCTGTCCGCACAGGGTCCTCGGCAGCCAGGGCGATGCTGCTCAGGGCAATGACCACAAGGATGACCGTCTCGAAGTAGCGCATCGTCACAATGGAATGGCAGAAGCGACGGAGCCTGGGAGGACAACACAATGCCGCCACGGGGCCCATGAGCTGGAATGCATGCCACCCTCTCCTGCAGGAAGGGCTTCGCCAAGTGTCCCCGAGGTCAATGGACAGCAACCAAGTGACTGATGGGGAAAGATTCTTGAGGGGGCACCCTAGAGCCAAAGGTCAGCAAATGACAGCCTGCAGGTTGCCCTGTATGTGAATGGGGAAGATAACTGTGTCCACCCATTTACCTACTGCCTGTGGCCCTAGGTGACACCATTGCTCATCTGCCTCTTTACAGAACACATGTGCTGCAGCAGGTGGAGGGCTGGGTCAGAGAGGAGGGATTTTAGCACCAGCGCTTGCAGAAGGCAGGCCTCCCTCACTTTCAGAATGGTGTCTGATTCCTGTGCGGGGTGCGTTCCCAGGCTGCATGAGAACACACTGCCACACACTCGCCTTCTGCTCAGTCACCTGCTGACTCTCACTGGCTTGTTCAACACTGGGCATCTGCTGGACACTGGGGGCATAGCAGTGCCCAAGGCAGGCAAACGCCTGGCCTCAGAAAGCTCCATGCCAGCAGGCAGAACACCAGTGAGCAGCGTCAAAATACATAGGAGGCTCTGCAATGCTGACAAATGCTACCACACAGCAATAGACAGTGGCCAGGTCAGCAAGGCCAGTCTCCAAATGGTGGCCCAGAAAGAGCAGCCACAAACCAATGGAGGGGCCAGTCCACCTCTCCTGCCACAGGCACTACCTGCTGCCAGTTCCTCCTGTCTTTGCCCCTCACCCCTACATCAACCTCTCTGCAAGGACCACCCAGGTCAAACTATGCCAGTCTCTTCCTTGACCACCTACTGAGTAGGCTCCTCTCTCCCGATCAGTGGGCCCCCACCGTGCATCCCTCCCATGCTCCTCCATGCTCCTCAGGGACCACCAAGGTCCTCCACAGGATTCCTGGTAGCCGCTTTTCTCCAGCTTTCCAGCTCAGCTGCTTTGGCTACTTGCAGCTCTGCTTCTACTCAGTGCCCTATTCTAAGGAACACGAGCTCCTCCTTTGTGCTGGCCTTACTTGACCCTTTGCCTCCCCAGCACACTCAGTCTGTTACCATTTTACTCCTATCCACTAGCACAGCAGGGTTAGCTGTCAACCGTGTGCGTGTGTGTGTACGAAGGCAAGGAAGGAGGGAGCAGGAAGGGGGCCGAGTGAGGAGGGCTAGGTGAGGGACCCGACCGATCCAAGGCAGATCAGCAAGGGTCCATCTGACACTGCTGCTCTCTGCTCTCCTCCCTGGGGTAGTGTCCATGTCTCAGCTTTCTTCTACCTCTCCATCCCCTTCCTCAAGTCTTGGTTCTACTTCACTTCTGAGCCCCACCACTGACCTCTCCATTCAGCTTTAGCCCCCAGCAGCCCACATATCCACCTCCAATTCATGTTTCTTCCTGGCACTCATCGCTGACATTTTATGTCTCTTGAACTGTCTTGTTTGTTGTCTTTCTCTCCCACCAGCCCAGACTCCCACTCTCTTAGCAAGGACAGGTATTCTTGTCTATCTTGTCACCACTGTATATTACCAGCACCTAGAATATTGTTTGCACATAAATACTGGCTGGATTCACGAAAGCACGGGATTGATGAGTGGATGACAAACTGTGATAAACAGAGGAGGGGACCCATGATTGACATATGAACATGCAACGCACACACATGCACACATGGGCAACAGTATGGTGGAAAGGTGGCTGGAGGAAGGTGTTAAATATGACAGGGATAAAGGGGCCCTGTGTGCAATGGAGCTCATGCTGCAGGGCAGGGCGGGGCACAGCTCTAGAGGGTATGCCAGTTCCACCTCCGACAACAACTTGTGCCTTTGTGTCCTCGTCTATAGAAGGAGGTGATGGGAAGTGCCTCTTGGGACTGCTGGATGGCTAGAGATGCTCAGTGAACAAAGTGTGCAGAGTCTATTCCCGCAGTTGCATATCCCATGCATGCTGGCTATGGTCTTCGTGTGGGCCCAGCAGTGGATGGACAGGGCAAGAAGCAAGGGTGGGCGCAAAGACTCACAGGTTAGTGGGGCTTAGACAGAACATGGAGCTGTACGGAACAATGGGCCGGGGGCCACTCCTCAGCATATCATCAGCTTCCACTTCCTTCTTCCCCTCTGCTTGGCTTTCCAGGTCCACGTTACCACCTATAAGGACACAGGGCCTCCAAGTTAGGAGTGCAGCACCCATAAAGCCCACATCAGTGCTACACACAGGTGAGGCAGGCCACCCAGGGAAGAGTGTGTGGCTAAGAACACGAGTTCACCTGGGTAAAACACAACGGAGACTGCGAGAATAGAAACCGAGCACTGCCTGCCACAGACGCCCTGACAGGCACTGCCTTGCCTCTCACATTGTGGGGTGCAGAGGGACAGGCATGAGGCAGACCCAACTCCCTCAGTGTGGATGCTGTCCTGCCACGAGTGCTGAGCACGATGGAGCCTCGGGGGTCCTTCCCTGCACCTGCCATGGTCTTGGAGCAGCAGGAAGGCAGCGCAGGAGCCGGCAGGGGCCCACAGAACCACAGCCGTTCCCTGAACTCTGGACAGCCCAATGTGGCCCAGGGCTCCTCCTGCAGCCCCAACCTGCCACCCTCGACCCTGGGTGGGGCTGGGCTGCCACTCTTCACCACCCCTCCTGGCTGCTCCTCTGCTCCCCCAGCCTGTACTCACAGCTCCGCACCTAGAAACCACATTTCTTGGGTTAAAACGGCTGTGAGCGTTGCTCCTCTTTTGGTAAACTGTGTAGAATCCTCTTATGTGTTGGTTTCTAACTATGCTAATGTGTACTTCAGGACGCATGGGTAACAGAGTGCCTGACGGACACCAAGGAGGACAGTGCAGCAACCTGAGCCACCTCCTACTGCCCTATTCTGTTTTTACTTCTTTAAAGAAAATAAAAGCAAAGAGGATGCTAAGTAGCAAAAATAAGTCATAAAAGGTTAAATATCATGTGGTACTTCTATAATGCGACAGGCCCAGAATAGAACGATGGGCACTTCAAAGAACAAAATAAAGAGCCACATTAAGAGACAAGGACAGAGTCCTGGCAGAGATGGAAAGGGGTCTGAGTCAACATGATCGAGATGTGATGTGGGGCAGGGGATTTAGCTCAGTGGTTCTGGGCCTGCCTCACAAGCCCAAGGTCCCGAGTTCGATCCCCGGTACAAAAAAAAAAAATGTGAAGTATATGCATATCAAATCCCCACACTGCACATAATCACTACATATTGAAAACATGTACTAATAAAAAATAAAATTTAAAAAGATCAACACAAATGAAAGTGCTTGGGCCAGGGATTTAGCTCAGTAGCACCGCGCCTGCCTCACAAGCGCAAAGTCCTGAGTTCGATTCCCCGTACCAAAAAAATAAAAGAAGGTGCTTATCCGGAGTCTACTGTGAAGACCAAGCCTCCGCCCCTCCCCTCCGCCCCTCCCCTCCACTGGCCACTCTGCAAACAGCCAGGCTGGGGAGGAGCCACAAGCTGAACAGGAGAACAGCCCGCAGCCAGCAGCTCCAGAGCTAAGGCAAGCCGCCTGCATGCGCTCTGAAAGCAATCTCTTTTGAAACAAGGACAGTACTATCAAATTTCCATGCTGAAAATGTAAATTTATATAATCTATGAGAAAGTAACAGGCCTACAAAATTCTAGTCATAAAACACTGCCTCTGAAGGATATCAAGCATGCATACAAAAGTCAGTAGTCTCAAAGTCTTTGTTATAAATTCTCCTCCCTCCACCCTGCCCTATACTTCGGGTCTCTGCACTGAGCTGTTATCTCCTGTCTTTTAAAAAAACTTTCTAAGGGGGCCTGGGATTTAGCTCAGTGGTTCCGCCTCCTGCTTCGCAAGCGTAAGGTCCCAAGTTCGATCCCCAGTCAAAAAAAAAAACTTAAAAAAAAAATTTTTGAGACAGAATCTCCCTAAATTTTCCAGGCTGGGCTCAAATATGTGATCCTTCTGCTTCAGTCTCAAAGAGTGCTGGGATTACAGGCATGCATCACCACACCCAGCTTGTAATAAATTATATTATTGTGAAAAATTAAAAACATGCAATCGCAGACCAGCTAAGAAAAATATTCAGTATTTATATGAAGCACTGTACAATGGATATCAAAAACGCCTAGGGCCGGGGATTTGGCTCAGTGGTGCCGCTGCCAGCCTCAAAAGCACAAGATCCTGAGATCGCTCCCTAGTAGCAAAAAGTCAAAGGTCAATGAGCCAATAAATTAGAAAATTCAAATAAACATTATCTCTATAAAGTCAAAACAATAATAATTTCTATTTTGTGGGATTTTTACATAGACTAAAATCCTGAACAGCAAAAACAAAGAAGCCAGGTAAAATGTGATTGAAGCTTCTACTCTGAGGTTTGAGTGTTGCTCGAAGAAATGTTAACATATAAAATAACTATTGTTTGTTCTACGTGTTTGATAAAATTGCAAGGGTAACCATGAAAATAATGGAAATAAAATTTATAGTTTTTAAATTAGAAAAGGAAAAAATGTGACACACAAAGAAAATAGTCAATTATTCAATATTAAAAGGAAAAAGGGGGCCGGGGATTTAGCTCAGTGGTTCTGCTGCCTGCCTCGCAAGTGCAAGATCCAGAGTTCAATCCCTGGTACCAGAAAAAAAAAAAAATTAAAAGGAAAAACAGAGGGAAAGCTTAGAAAATGCAACAAATGTTAAAATCGGAGATAAGGCAAGTCCAAGTACATCAGTAGTCAAAATAATTATGAGCAGACTAAGTTTGCAATTAAATGACAGAGACTATCCAGCTAGAGATTTTACTTTTTTTTTAAAATTCATTAAGTTTATTGGTAGATTTTAGGTATACAATATGATGACATTCATCATTGGGAATTTGTACCTTTACACGATGCATCTTGGTTCTTATTTTTTTTCCCTTTTCCCCTGCCCTCCCTTCAACCCCTCCACACCTTCCTATTTACAAAGACTTTGTTTCTGTTTTTTCCTTTTCTCATATTTTTTTCCTTTCCCCTCTTTCCTTTCCTCTACTCCCCCCTTCCCCTTACACTTCCCCTTCGGAACTTTTCTTCCTATTTCACATTGTCTATTATACATTTTGGTCCTCATTTATACTTTTAGTTTGTCACACCAGAGAAACAATTCGATATTTACACATGTATGTCCTATTTATTTCACTTAAGAGTATGGCCTCAATCATTTAACTGTAAATGTTTCTAGTTTCTCATTCTTTACAGCTGAGTAGTACTCCATGTTATAAATAAAACACATCTTCTTTATCCATTCACCAGCTGATGAGCTCCAGCTAGAGATTGAAAAGTACAGTTATACACAGTGTCCAAGAGACAAGCCTAGAGTCTAAGGCCTCAAAGAGTCAAAGGATACAAAAAGAGGGCCAGGGATTTAGCTCAGTGGTTCCGTTGCTTGCCTTGCAAGCACAAGGACCCAAGTTTGATCCCTGGTACCAAAAAAAAAAAAAAAAAAGATACAAAAAGATATACCTAGCACATGCTCATTTAAAAGGAACAAAGCCCAAGAAACTGTATTTACTCAGGAAATTACACTTTAAAACAAAAAGAGCTATTAAAGAGGATAATTACTTAACTGTTTTAAAAGAAAGGGTCTTTTCACTAGCACTATAGATCAGTTCAATAGAAAGTTGTTTTATTTTTGGTACTGGGGATTGAACTTGGGACCTTGCCGCTTGCGAGGCAGGCACAATAGAAAGTTTCTTAAAAGAAATAAAAGAAAAGGGGCTGGAGATTCAGCTGAGTGGTTTTGCCACCTGCCTCACAAATGCAAGGTCCCAAGTTCAATCCCCAGTACCAAAAAAAAAAGAAAAGAAAAGAAAAACAACCTTACAAAATAAAATCAGAAGCAGTTACTACTTCAGAAATGCATGTAATAGTGCTTAGTAACGTGGTAGATTATTTTTACATTACACTACACATTTCAAATTATTCAAGATAATTGCCTTAAAAAGTAAACATACACAGGGAAAGAGAATTCAAAGCAGCTCTTCCAATTGTCGGAAAATCAACTGGGCAAAATATCACTGAATACTATATATAGAATATTTGAGCAACACGACTAACAAACTTTATTTAACAGACAAATACACAAAGCCCAAGGCTCCCAAAATTTGTGAAAACATATTCCTTTTAAGCTCATGTAAAACACTTACAAAAGTTAACCATGAGAAAGTTGACCATAATGCCAAGCCATAAGCAACTATAAATAAATCTCAAAGGAAACTGTCACACAAGTCACAATGTCTAATCACAGTACAATTAAATTGGAAATTAAGAGAACAAAAGGACTAAGATGAAAATTTTACATTTGTGAATAGGGAAAGACTTTAAAGACTCTATGGCTCAAAAAAAATATATTTGCATATGTACAACAGTGTCTACTTGGAAAACAAGCGGTTGCAGGGAGATGGTGTAGAGTATCAAGCGTGGCTGGTGTCTGGCTGAACACAAAGTCGACAGATGAAACTGCTCGTATTTCTACATAGTAGGAGCGTATGATTTGAAAATAGAAGGTTTTAACGATATCACTTAAAACAGAATAAGGAAATTAAAAGGACAAAATTTTCAGGATAACACACAAATACAGAACATAGATTATATTCTATAATCTTCTATGTGAATTATAAATGCCACAAAATAACATATTTTTCTCTTAAAAAAAAAAGTCCACAGAAAAGCCTGAAAGCAATAAAAGAATCCAGTAGCAATGACCACCATGAGGTCTCCAACCACGGTGTCGGGTCAGGGTCCACGAAAGGGCCTGAGATATGCATGGTGAAGGGTGTGCTCCCAGAAGCAAGCAGAAACAAGTGAGAAAGCAGGCCAGGGACATGAAGAAGCCATGCCAGGTGTAACTGCAGACAAATCCCTGCAAGGGAAGGGTTAGCTCCCCAGGACATGAGGGTTCCCAACCCACCCCAAAGCTGACCTGACCGTCAGTCTCAGGCCTGAGCTGTCACATCTGTACCCTTCTGTCATAGGCTCAGGGTCACCCCAGGAAGAAACAGACCACAGACCTGTAGTAGTGAGAAATGGCCAATTCCACGTCCGGGCAAGAAATGTCTGAAACGGCCCTGGTACATGCCATCAGAGGCAACAACCAAGCCAGTGCCAAGACTCCCAGAG